TGGGAGCGTGGGTGGAGGAACAGGAGGACGACTGAAATGATCTCAGAGGACGAGACGGGGTGTAAGACTGCCCCAGAGGGTTGCCCGGAACGCGACCAAACTGGCAATTTGGAATGATCCCAGAAAGGGCGAGAGGAGGGTGGAAGATGGCCCCAGAGAGCTTCCACAGACGACAGAAAATTGCCTAAGAGGGCCCCAAGAGGCTGCGAAAACAGCCCAAAATCGCACCCAAAGCCGGCGTCCAGACGGCCGAGGGTCCCGAGAGGCTGTCAGGACGGCCGCAGAGAACATTCGCATGCTCCAAGATGGTCGCAAGAGCCCGTGGAGATACAAGGGAGCTCGAAGGGAGGCGCCAGGACCAACCCGACAAGGACAGAGAATCGTCAGAACCCAATTCGTTCGTCTATGTGTTTTGCGTGCTGGAGGTTTCTGGTGTCTGAGGCCCGAATGGAAAAGGTGGAGAGGCACCCAGGTCGGCCGCTCGTGGCCGGAAGGACGGTGAAGATCGGCCCAGAAAGAGCCCCTTGAGACCCCCCCAAGCAGGCCCAGCAGGCTCCCGGAAAGGGCTCTGACGATGGGCCTGTTTTCACCACCACCATAAGTTGGACGGGGGGGGAAGGAGGAGGAGGACGAGGAGGAGGAGGAGGAGGACGAAGAGGAGGAGGAGGAGGAGGAGGAGGACGAAGAGGAGGAGGAGGAGGACGAGGACCCCCTCCCCCTCCAACTTATGGTGGTTGTGGTCGAAAACCGGCCCATCATCTGAGAGGGCCTGGTGGCGCTCGGAAGCCGAGCGCGTGAAAGGGGAGGCGTTTTCGGACTGGCCAGACGGCGCCCTGGCCGCAGCCCGCGGGCCCTCGGGCCGGCGGAATGAGCCGGCCGCGGGGAGGGACCCCAGGAGGGGCTGTGAGGGCTCAGAGGCAGGGGCAGGTATGAAAAGCGCGCAGGTGAGAAGATTTACGGGCAGCACTCTTGAAGGCCATGCTGTGGATCTCACACGCCGTACCCGGTGGGGCGGCGGCTCGCTTGGCTCATTCCGCCGGCCCGTGTTGTACCATCGTTGGCGTCTGCGTGCGCGTTCGTGGGCTATGCGGCGCTGCTGGTCGGGGCTGCTGCGGTTGTGGGTAAGAATCTTTGTGTATGCTTCTTGGTGATTCTGCGGAGGGTTCTCGGGGGGCTCCAGTGTAGCAGGTTTAGGGGCTCTTGGGGCCCTCCTGGGGGCGCCTTGGATGCCTCTTGGGGCTCTCTTGGCGCCTCTTGGGGGCCGTTTGGACTCTATTGGGGGACTCTTGGGGGCCGCCTTGGGCAGCCTGGACGCCTCTTGGAGCCGAGGGCTCGAAATGTCCGTTCGGCTTCCTTCTACTGGGCCCCCTCTTGGGGCCGTCCTGGTGCTCTCTGTCCGTCTTGGAGGCCTCTGGGGCCGTCTTTGGGCCCTCTTGGGCCGTGTGGGGTTCTTTCGGAGACCTCTTAGGCCGTCTTGAAGCGATCTTAGGTGCTTCTTGGGCCGTCTTAGGGTCGGCGGCCGAGAAGGTGAGAACGCTGGAAACCTTCAAGAACGAATGGGAATTCGTTCAATGTTGCCTCTAGGGAGCTTCTTGGGAATGGTATTGGAGGAAACTTCGGGCGTCTTGGAGGCGGGCGAAGCCGTCTGGAGGCTATCTCGGGCATCTTGGAACGATTTCCGGTGACTTGGGGGGCCTCTTAAAACGCTCTTGAAGGCCCTGAAGGCACCCCCCAGGAGTTCTGGCATCCGTGACGGGGACTGCCCGGGACTTGCATGTAGTACTTTTATTCCTTGGCAACCTTATTGAAGGACTGGGGTCCAATCCATAGTGGGACATAGTTATTTCTCCGCGGAACCCGCCGCGCAACAACGACGACAACGACGACGATGACGAAGAGATGAAGGAGGAGATTGTGAGCAGCGCCTTCGGCGAAGAATGTGCCGATCTAGTATATATATATATACACACATGTACAGATTGTAATCCGCCGACCCCTTGTGGGTCTCTAGGCGTGTGAGATAGTTCCCCCCCCTATAGTCCCCCCCCCGGGACCCCAAACCGGCGATTTGACCCCCCCCCCCGGGCCCGGGACGAGCGCCGCCGGCCGGGCCCGGGACGAGCGCCGCCGGGGCTTTTCCGGGCCCCAGGAAGCCTCAAGACGGGCCAAGATGGCCCCAAGAGGCCTTCAAGACGGCCCACGGGAGCCCCGAGACGCCAAACGAGCGCTCCAAGACGCCCAAGATGGCTCCAAGACGGGCTACGAGGCCTCCAAGACGACCCAAGAGGTCCCCAAGAGGCCCCAAGAGGCCTCCAAGATGCGTCCCACGAGGGTCCCTAGACGCAAAAATTGGCCCATTCCCTTCGTAAAACGTACATTATTCACGAATTCGCTTTTTGGGCTTTCCGACGCTCCCAGACGGCCCAAGAAGCCCTAAATACCGCCCCAAGACGGTCCAAGCAGCCTCCAGGGAAGCTCCAAGGCAGCCCAAGAGACCCCCAAGACAGCCCAAGACGCGCCCAAGATTGCCCAAGAGGGCCCCGAAGACGGCCCAAAGAGCGCTCCAGGAGCGCTTCAAGTGGCCTCCAAGAGAGCTCAATATGGTCACAGACGGTCGAAGAGCGATCAAAGACACCCGAGATGGCCTCCAGATGGCCCAAGACGCCCCCGAGAGGCCTCCAAGATACGTCCCAAGAGGGTCCCTAGACGCAAAAAAATGCTCATTTCCTTTGTTAAACGTATATGTTTCAAAAATTCGCCTTGTGGGCTGTCCGACGCTGCAAGACGGCCCACGAGGCCCCGAAGACCGCCCCGAGACGGCCCAAGAGGCCCCCAAGACGGCCCCACGACGGCCCAAAAAGGCCCCAAGACGGCCCAAGAGGTCCCCAAGACGGCCCAAGAAGGCTCCAAGACAGCACCAAGAGGGGCCCAAGAGGGCAACCAAAAATTCAGTTTTCCGCCCCCACGAGCCCCAGGGGGCCCCACGAGTGCCCCAAGAGGCCGCCAGAGGCCCCCAAGAGGCCGCCAAGACGCCCCAAGAAGCCCCCAAGAGGCCCCCAGGAGGCCCCCCAAAGACCCCCAGACGCTTCCGATTGCGAGCCGCGAAACCAACTGCAATGCACTCCGCGCATACAGCCTTGCTCTTCCTCGTGAAGTGCTCACTATCTTGCTCGGCGCTAATGTGCTCGCCGGAACTGTTTCGTGCGCGCTGCGAACGTCAACTACCTCTACACCCGTTTCGACTCATCTGCCACACCTTTCGCGATGATGCCTCGCTGATCACAGCGTCCGCACACCACTCTTGCTCCTTTCGTTTTCCGGTGGTCTTCCCCTTGGTTGCGGGTCGAAAAGCCGACCTCCCAGAAGGACACCCCGCACCCGGGTGCACAGCACGCAAGGCGCTCGCAAAACACGCCCCAGACCACCGGCATCACGCAAACATTTGGACCCCCTACGTATCTGCCACCACCCGCGCGCGACACCGCACCCTCATACAAGACGCCGCTGGCCACAAACTCCTGGCCTCGCAACACTCACAGAAGGGTCGGCGGATGTGGCGTAAGCCTGTAGAGTCCTCTTGTAAACGTACTCTAAATTCTTATCTCGTGCGGGGTATCCCAGAGTGCAGCATTCCTTGGGAAGGAAAACCCAACATTATCCAGACCGCCCAGCAAAAGGGGAAGTGAATCTCCGCCGCGACAACGACGACGATTACGACTACGACTACGATGACGACTACGATTGCGACTACAACCACGACTACGATTACGCATACCATCGCGACTACAATCACGATTACAATTACGCTTATAGCTACGACTACAATCACGACTGCAACCGCAACCACCGATTCGGGTTGCAATCCTCATGAGGACATGCTCACACATCCTCTCGCGTGTAGGGTAGCCCACAACGAGTCATTCCCTGGGAGAAGGAGACCCCAACATTGTCCAGGCCGCCCAACAATAGAGGTAAACCACTTCCGCCGCGACGACCACGACGAAGACGACGACGACGATTGCGATAACGGCCACGAGGAGGAGCAGCACGAGGAAGAGGAGGAGGAGGAGGATCAGAAGGAGGAGGAGGAACTCCGTAAGCATAATTTCATAAAAGCGTACTGTCGCGCGCCAACAGGCCGTCGAAAACGCCTGCCCCCCAGCAGAAATTGCAAGACGCGCGCTCAGCCGATCCGAAAATGCTGCTGACTTATCCCGCAGCGCAGTCCTCTGCCTCGCGGGAACACCCTCACCACGGCCCGAAGAAGCCGTTGGCGTTCGCGAGCACCGAGCCGAAGAAGAGGATGGTGATCGAGATCACGTAGTTGTTCCCGCCCACGCCCCCCAGGCTGAAGCCCGCGGGCGGCGGAGGGGTGGTCGTCACCGGCGGGCCGCCGAAGAACTGCATCTCCACCGAGGGGGCGCGCTGGCCCGCGCGAAGCCCCGCCGGGGAGGCGCCGACGAAGGACAGCGCGAGGGAGCCCACCAACAGGGCGGCAGCGGCCGCGACGGCGCAGGCCAGCAGCAGGGACGCGGAGCGGGCCATCGCGGGGCCTGCGAGGGGTATGCCGAGGGGCGGGGGCGTGCGGGCAGTGCCGCGAGGAGTGCTCGGCGCTAAACGGCTTGAGCCAAAGTGGCTACGGAAGAAGGAGGAGGAGGAACGGGAGGAGGGGAATTTAGAGGAGGAGGAGGACGACGACGACGACGACGAGAAGAGAAGAGGAGGGACCAGATTTATTCACCGCCGAAAGAGAAGGGGGGTATCAAACAAAAAAACCATCGAGGTTTCTCAAGACGGATGTGCACTTGATGATGGTGCCGGTGCGTTAACTTGGGATACTGCTCAGGGCAATCATTGTGAAGACTTGCTGCACAAGGCACCGGGGCGGAAATGCGCGGTCGTGGCGTTGAGAGAACGACGAAGCCCTGGGAGGCGAGGCGCTGGATGGGAAGAACCGGCTGACATTGCTGCAGCAGGCCGGGAAGAACGAGCAGGCTCGCCTTGGCCTTGGACAGCGTCACGCCACCCTCCTTCTTCGCGGCAATCGCGGCCTTGGACAACGTCGGCGGGGGTACGCCGTCCTCCTGCGCGGGGGCTGCGCGCGGCGCGCGCGGGCGAGGGCACTGCCGTGGAGGCCTTGGACCGGCGATTCAAAGAGACGGCCCTGAGAGAGGAGACCCCACGGGCGAGGGGCCTCACGGCCTCTTCCTGTCCTTCTCAGGGGGTGCGTCTGCATGACCCCCTGCAAGGGGGGTGCATGTGCCTCCCTAGGCCTGAAGATCCTGGCTCTCTGCGGGGAGCGCGGGACCCAGGGGCGAGAAATCGCCAGGGGCCCCCACCTCGAACGAAACCCTCCCCCCAAGGGCGCAGCAGAGCTCAACCTGGGATCCCTGCCTGCCCTCACGGCCCCATCCCTCGGGGCCCCATCTTTGAACCACCAATTGTTGAGCAGGGACCGTAGGCCTACCACGAAGTGTTCTTAGAGCCCAAAAATGTTCCAAGAACAAAGACAGTGTCCTTAGAACGCAAGCCCGATGTGCTAAAGCAGGACAGCATCGGCCAGAAATGTTCGAGGAACATTTCGCACAGACCACACAAGGTTCTTATAACACTCTTCTTTGGTAGGCCCATAGGCGAGCCAGGACGCTTCGCCACTGCTTGAAGTTGGCTGTACCGAGCAGATTTCCGCAGGCCCCCCGCCCGCAAAGCCCGCCCCCTTCCTGCACTCCCGCCGTCAACACAGACCTTCCCGCCCAAGCTCCCGCCGTGGGGCGAGGCGCCAGCACCCGCACAAACCTCCCGGCCCGCTTTCTGCGCCGCCGTGTCGCTGCCGAGCGGCTCGTCCACGTTGTAGTACTAGTAACAGTCGCCGTCATAGATGAGAGTCCGGAATTAGGCGCTTCGCCGCCACGGTCTCCTGTCTCTACTCGACTGCCGGGGCACCCGCCCAAATCGGCCATGACTGGAGGCGGGTCCGTTGCCCAGGCCCCTGCTAAGAAGGGAACCAACGTAACACCAGTGGGTGCATCGTCGCAGGTCGCGGGCGTCGCTGGCGGTAACTCCTCCCTCTTCTCTTTTGGGGAAGCACCTGACGATGTCCCAGCGGCTGCGTCAGACGCCGCCTCCTCCTCCTCGTCCTCCTCCCCACGCTCATGGCCGTCACTTGGCCCGGTTGCGTAGGACGCGGTAGCCGAGAAACTGGCACAGAGGCCGACACCCAGGGACGCGTCCAGTAAGCCCAGGACGGCCACCACAGCGGTCGCCACTGTGCACCCCAAGGAGCACACGTGGCTCATCGCGGCGAGCTATAGCACCCGCCCGCTCACCTCGAAAAGACAATCGAACGGAGACTGCGCCAGCGTATAAAACCCTCAGTCATCACTCGCGTCCAAATCCGTGGAGGAGGGCCGCGGTGGCCAACGGGCGCTGTGTGCATACGCCAGGCTCACGTCGCGAAACCGTCGGGGCTGGCCTCCAACACCGCGTGGGTCGCTCAACCTTGAGCGATCGCGGCGTCCCGACACCACAAACCGCTCGATGGATTGTCGGCCTGCTCCGGGCCACTGGCGGCGTTCAACCTTGGACGCCCAATCCGGGTCCGCCGCCGCGTCGACACGACACGAACCTTGCGTGCCCGTTCGTGCAGCCGCTGAGCACTCTCTGGTGGGCCTGTTTTCCACCACCACCACCACCACCACCACCATGAGTTGGAAGGGGAGGGGGTCCTCCTCCTCCTCCTCCTCTTCCTCCTCCTCCTCTTCGTCCTCCTCCTCCTCCTCCTCCTCCTCGTCCTCCACCTCCTTCCTCCCTCCACCTTATGGTGGTGGTGGCGGAAAACAGGCCTATCACTCTACGCACGTGGCCAGTGCCTCCTGGCTCCTTCGCACCTCTGGCCGCCGTGTGCCGCGGGGGCAGGAGGGGGCTCTGGGCTCCAGGGTGGGGGGGGGACGACGAAAGGGGGCGGAGGAGTGGAGCACGCCTCCTCCTCCTCCTCCTCCTCCTCCTCCTCCTCCTCCTTCTCGTCCTTCTCCTCGTCCGCCTCCTCCTGATCACCTCTCACCCCCTCCTCCCCCTCCTCCTCCTCCTCCAACTCCTCCTCCTCGTCCTCCTCCTCCTGCAGACAAGAAGGGAGAGGGCCGAGGCAGGCCACTTTCGGTCGGCACGCCTGACATGGAGAAGATAAAAACGGGGAAGATGCCCGACAACGAACGTTCTCCGAGCTGAACAACGTCCACGGCGTCACCAGCAAAGAGCCCGGCTGATCAAGACGAGCAGGAGCTGGTGTCGGATTTCGGCCCCATGGTTCCGTCCCCGTTTTGACTGTACCGAGCCAGTCTGGCCTGGGTATGGTAGAAGCGGGTCCTAAGGGAAAAGGGTCCTAGACTACGAGACCGGGGCTAATGCACCATACCATGTCTGGACTCCCTTCGGACGCCACTCCAACGCGATACGGTGCATAGTTTGTCGGCCTGAGCCCTGAGGGGTCGAAAAGCTACGCACCGAACTGTCCCTGGGTCGAGGACCCACGCCGCCTCGGGCGACGCCAACGCGGCCCCGTGCACACAAGCCGTCCGCGGATAGACGCCGAGGGCTCCATCCCGAGGCGCTTTCTGACGGCCCCGGGGCCCGCGGATGGCCCCGAGTGCACAAGATCGGCGGACAAAACCTCGCGGGCCCGTCTCAGGGCCCCTTCCTGGGGGAGCCAAGGAAAGTACCGATACCGCTGCTCCTCGGACCTCGCACCTGGGCGCGCTCTGACCAGAACTTCGAAGCGAATCCAGCGGTGACGACGAAGGCATCCCGGGAGGCCCAAGAAGGCAAGAGCGAGGCAAGGGTGGCGACATCGGTACCCAGTCGACATTTGACTCATCGCAGTTTCCGTCCTCGTCTCCACTGTGCCGAGCCGACGCCGCCGACTGAAGGAGACGAGCAGCAGAGGAAAGGGGCACCGGATGTGTTGTCCCCCGTTTTCCTGCACCCTGGGGGGCCCTCCACGAGCCGAGGGGCCAGCAAAACTCGACTCTGGATGAAGAGCCGGCCCTGGGAAGAACCTCGGGGTGTGTGCGACACGTTTCCCTCAGGATACACTTCTTTCGACTACACGCAAGAGTGACCCTGAGTAAGAGTGACCTTTGGTGCGCGGCTTTTTGGGGGCCGCGGGGGACTAAACACGAGCGCGCAAAACGCTACTACCGCATCGCGCTCGGCGATCGGGGGACCCCTTTGGGCCCGCACCAAAGGTCACTCTGGCGAAAGGTTACTTTTACGTGTAGCCAATTCTTTCATGGCGAGGATGATGAGATAATGGAATCAGAAGCCGGTCAGTTGGAGATTGAGTGTCGCCGCGTTGCCGATGAAGGGGAGCATATAATCCCCCCGCCTCGATGGTTGAAGACAGGAACTCGCTTGTACAGTATACACCCACAGATTTGCCGCAAGGTGCCTTGGATATGGAACGAAGCTCCTTGGGGGCATCAATTGCGCATAGATGCATGACGAGCGCCAGAAGAAGACACACGGAACGTGGTCGACCCACGAACCTGGAAAGAGATATATATATAAATATATATATATATATATATATATATATATATATAATTGCCCTGGCTTGGGCAATGGGCATGGGCAGTGCTGCGTTGTACCGTACTCTACAGTGCTGTGCTGAGATGTGCACTTCCATCATGTGTTGACATGTAATGTATTCTTTTGCGCTGTGAATACAGTCGAGCTTGGCACCCGTATCTTGACCGAACTGATCTGCATATCTTGCTCAAGCTACCTAAGCGCAAGGCTCGCACAGAGCCGGTTGTAGCAAAAGCGCGCAAGGCGCTCAACCACCTCGAGCTCAAGACCCAGATCAGCTCCGACACGGGACGGGCCGACAAGGAGCGCATGGCGCATGGGCGCGCCGCGGGACGTGCCATTGGCTCACAAGGAGGTACGCCAGGGGACGTGCCAGGGACGTCACAGGGGGTGACATTGGACCTGTCAGAGACCTGCCACGGGATTCGCAAGGGAAGTGTGCCGAGGGACGCGCCAGGAAAGCGCCAGAGGACGGGACGTGCCAGGGGGTGCGCCAGGAGACGAGCCAGGGGATGTGCCGCGCGACCCGCCAGTCGACGTGCCAGTGGACGCACCGGGGGCGCGCCAAGGGATGCGACATGCGACGCCACACGGGACGTACTGCGCGACGTGCCAGGAGACGTGCAGTGGGCTTGGCTCATCTAAACAACACCAAGGGTGTTTCTGAGTATTCGATGTTGGGCTCTTGACGAGCCGAAAGCGTCATTAAAAAAATGCAATGCCCTTCTGCATTGCTTAAACTGGCTTTGATGTTCGCCTTCTGCTTCGTCGTGGCATCCGTCGGTCGTAAATGGAACGGGGCTGAAACTGGTTTCCGTGCGCAGAACTGAAGACGGCAAACTAAAAATGATAAAATACACACACCAGACAAACAAAACGCTGCGACACCGGCCTCACACATGGGCGATGCAGGCCTGGGAGCCCGCGGCTGGTCCTCCGCGTGCTCCGACGATGGCAAGCGAGAGACCTGACAACTCTGAAAACAATACGCGCGTTAGCGTCTTCGATTGTCTGTTGAAACCTGGGACGCGCTTTACAATTGCGTCCGAGACGCCGCGCCGAAAACGCTTTAAAAACACCTAGAGCATCTTTACGATGAGAGCCAAGGCCGCAGGGCGCGTCAGGGCGCGTGCAGAGAGAAACGCTCCAGGGGGCGAGCAAGGGGACGTGCCAGGGGACGCGCCACACACACGGCGTGCGACGCGCCAGTCGACGTGTCAGGGGGTGCGCCAAGGGCCGTACCAGGGGGCATGCCAGGGGACGGGTCGCGCAAGCCAGGGGACGCGCCAGGGAACGTGCCACGGAGCGCGCAGGGAGACGAGCCAGGTGACGGCCCACCCTGCTCTTGAAGCCTTCTCCGCTGGATCCGCGCAACCAGGGCCACGATCCCTCGCGAATTGAAATGGAGTCCGAACTCCCAGAGCCACGATCCATTTCAATTGCGTTGTATCCGAATTTCCAGCGCCACGATCCTTGCCAATTACGGTGGACCCGCGCCCCCGGCGCGACAGTGGGCCACAATCCATAATGAATTCCTCTACGTCCGCGCGCCCAGGGCCGAGTTCCCTGGTCCGCGCTCCCCAGGCCAGCATCTTTTCTGCGCATTGCGCTGAGTCCGCCCCCCAGTGCCTCCAGAGACGTCCTGGGGCGTTCAGGTGCCTATTGAATCCCCTGGGACCTCCGTACACCCTTATGTGTAAAGGATCCTGCGCGAGGGACGAACCATCCTCGAGCGGGCACGGACGACATCTGTTTGATAGACATGATTTGCCAAACGTCTCTGCCTCAGGACCCCATGAGTAGCCGAGGACTCTATGAGAAACGCTCACCACCATCATTTTTGCAAAACTGGGATCTGCGGACCCCGTCACTGATCGAGAGAACTCACCGTGGGGGACGCAGATTCAAGGAGTTGGCACGCGCGGAGGGTGGGTGAGGGTGCCGATTTTGAATTCAAAAACCAGTCTCCTAGCACTGGCGCGCCTGCGGGTGGCGCGCCAGGTCTGCGAAGCAGGCATGTAGCAACCAGAGTCGCAGTTAGCAGTGTATGGTGAGGGACCGTAAGCACTTTGGCCCGTGAGCCGCCTTGCGCTGCGTGCGTCGCAACCACCGTACTCTTAGCCTTGATCCCGAGAAATACAACGCGTTCTGGCGATCAAGAATTAAGCCGCGCTTGTTTTTTTCATCGAGAGGCGAACATCTGCCTGCCCGCCTCGAACATGGCACCGGCCGGGGACAGCCCACGAAAAGACATCGACATCCCTGGTGATCGAGCCACTCAGGATCCGGGATTTGGAAAAACGGCCCCGGATTTAGAACATTCGTTTTTGAAGTTAGTGAACAGATTTCTGCGTTTACTAAACTGTATGTTTGCTTATTTTGACTTGGCGGCGCAATTGAATAAATCAATTTCTCGCTTTAGTGAATTGACGTTTTCTCAATACTTTGTTTTAAGCATGCGCGTTCATTCATTACCATGGTCTATGTTCTCCGGTGACCTGGGCCAAGGCCTTTTCCAGGAACAACATCAGGGACATCGAGCCCCTTTCGAAGCAAAAGTGGCCAGCATCTCAAGGTTATGATTGTATCGGGGCTGGGGAATGCAGAACACACAAATACAACAAAGAGCGGCTTCTAAGAAGGCACATGCCTCCTGCCTTCAGAACATGATCGATTCACGAACTCAGAAATTATATAGACTGGCAAAGCTTGGACACTGCGCACTAGCAGTGCTAAGTGCTGAGGATATCGCATGCGATGATACCAGGCCAGGGGCTGTGCTGCGCTGCGCTGCGCTGTGCCATGCTGCGCCGTGCTCTGCTGAACTGTGCTTAACCTTTCTGCGTTGAACTGTGCGGACACGCCAGTGGACGCGCCAGGGGACGTGGCAGCATACGCGCCACGCAAGGGAACGTGCCAAGAAACGTGCCATGGGATACGCAACGGAACCTGTCAAGAAACGCGCCGCAGACGTGCCGAGGGGAACCGCAAGCCAAGTACCTGCCGGGGGTCGCGCCAAGGGGATTACCATGGAACGTGCCAGGGGACGGGCCGGGGGACGGGCCGGGGGACCACCCTCCGTGCTCTGTAAATCTCCCAAGGCCATGATCCCTCCAAAATTCCACTGGATCCGCGCTCCAAGAGCCACGATCCCGTGTAAAGTACGCTGCGTCCGAACTCCCAGCGCCACGATCCTTGCAAATGACGCCTGGTCCGAACTCTCAACGCCACGATCTCTCTCAAGTTACGCTGGGTCCGCGCTCCCAAGGTCTTGACCCTCAAAAGTTACCCTGCGTCAGAGCTCCCAGGGCAACGATCCCTTGTAAAGTACGCTGCGTTCGCGCTCCCAAGGCCACGATGCCTCGTAAATTACGCTGCGCCCGCGCTCCAAGCACCAGTGTCCTAAGTAAGTTGACGTGCGTCCGCGCTCCCAGGGCCAGTCCCTCGTAGATTGCGCTGCGTCCGCGCTGCCAGGGTCACGATCCTCGTGAAGTGCGCTGCGCCCACGATCCCAGGACCACGATCCATTGTAGCAAAGTTCACAGGGTCCCCGCTCCCAAGCCGTCCAAGGGCGCCCGTGGGCTGCATGGGCCCTGGGGCCCTGGGGCCCTGCGCACCCGGCTTTTTGTAGGTGTTCCGAGCGCGGGGCGCGCCATTCTCGAGCGGCGCAAGATCAACGTGTTCGAATTGTCTGTTGAATCTCACTCGGACTTCAACACGCCCCTCACGAGGATTCCACGCAAAACGTTCCACACCTTATCGTTGTAATGGGCAACGGAGGTCTGAGGACCATGTCATTTATGGAGGATCCGTCTTGGGGGCGCACTTGGTTTCCACGAGCGGGCATCAACAGAACGCACTTCTTCCATTGATCCTGGAACCTGGATTTCTTCCGTTGGCGGCGAGCGAGGGGGGGAAAATGAGAAGGAGCAGGCCTTCTCAGAAGGCGGCGGGACTTCTCAGGTGCCCTCGCGCCTTCTGAGAATGTTGTCTGCCTTCGGGGAAGGCTTCAAAAACTTCTCAGAAGGCTGGGGGACTTCCAGTGGCTTCTGCGAAGGCCCGCCCCTTCTCACTTCCCCCCCTCGCTCGCCGCCGATTTCGGGGATCTTCTGACCCGGGTCAATCCAGACCGGGTCAGTCAGGCCTTGCAGAATCCTGCAAGACCCTGCACCCAAACCCGGGCCAATGCGAAGCATCCTGTAGGACCCTGCAGGATCCTGCACCCAAGCCCGGGTCAATGCGACCCTGTCCCTGCATAATCCTGCAAAATCCCATCCTGCAAAACCCCGCGCTCTGGCTGACCCCGGTTTGCACTGACCCCCGTCTCAAGGCTCCCATGATGTTGTTCCCATCCTACTTGAGGACCGCATCCGAGAACTAATTTCGAGCACCCGGAAAAGTGTCAAAAGAGTGTCGAAACAGTGCCGAAACAGCGTCGGGCGAGTGCCTCCTGGGGCCCGACACGCGAAAACCCTCGAGTTTCGGTATTTTTTTGCTGGCGCTCGAAATTCTTTCTGGTGGTCAAGGCTAAAGTAGGTTGGAGCATCGTAGGGCTCCCAAAGATTTCAATGAACCATTCTGCCGGCCCCACCCCGACACGAGGGGGAGGGAGGGAGGAGGAAGAGGGAGAGAGGGAGGAGAGGGCCCGAGGGAGGGGGAGGGGGAGGAGGAGGAATGGGAAGGAGGAGAGGGAGGGAGGGAGGGACGGAGGCAGGGAGGAAGGGATGGTGGGATGGACGGGAGGAGGAGGAGGAGGAGGAGGAGTAGGAGTAGGAGGAGGAGGAGGAGGAGGAGGAGGAGGAGGAGGACAGGACAGCGGAACATGACCTGTGGCGCCCCGAGCCCAGACAGCGGAGCGGTCCAGACCCCGTGAGACGCTGTGGGAGGCGCTTGCAAGAGCGCTCGACGGGATGCCTCTGAGCCTGCAGGCTCGAGAGAGGAGCGCCCCAGTCCCAGGAGCTGAGGAGGCTCCTCAGAGGAGCTTCGCAGAGGCTTCTGGCTCGCGTGCTTGGCAAGGAGTGGGAAAGCGCTTCCTATAGACAAGCTGCAAAATGTCAAGCAAGCTCCTGAAAGGATGCCCGCCCGGGAGCCGTGGCAAGGAAGCTGGCCTAGCCCTGCCTGCCAGCCAGCTTCTTCTCGAACAACCCTTTTTTCGCTCCCACAAGGAGTCACCCAGGAACTGAACGAGAACTCTGGGCCTGAGCCTGCTTCATTTGCTGTTTTGTTTTGTATGTCTATTTTTGGAAACAAAAAACTCCACCTTCCCAGACGGCCACCCCCTCGCGACGCCACTGCGCGCGCCGCCCATGGCCAGATAGCCAGGGAACCCGAGCTTGTGGCATGCGGCCCGGGTCCGTGTCCGCGGTGGACTGCGGCTCCGGGGGCCCGCTGGGCACGCCCAGCATGCCGGGCGCCTGGGCACAGCGTCCGTTTTGCGCTGCTCTTCCCCTAGAAGGGAAGAGGGAGGAGGAGGAGGATAAAGACGGACAGGAGGAGGAGGAGGAGGAGGAGGAGGAGGAGGAGGAGGAGGAGGAGGAGGAGGAGGAGGAGGAGGAGGGGGGGGGACGAGGCTGAGGAGAAGGAGTAGGCGGAGGCGGAGGACGTCGACGACGACGACGACGACGACGACGACGACGACGACGACGACGACGACGACGACGACAAAAATGGCGACGACGACGACGAACACGGCGACAACGAGAGAGGAGGAGGAGGAGGAGGAAGAGGAGGAGGAGGAGGAGGACGAGGAGGACGGAGGAGGGAAGAAAAGGATACCTTCACTCAGGGAAACGTGTCTCTGGTGAAGACGCTGTACAACGAGGATCTGACATGGTGGGGGCGCACCCGCTCCAAGCAGGCACCAGCGCGCTTCCACGCCACCGAGCAGCCCGCCGCCGTGCCCCCCCTGGCACGTTGGGGCGTGCTAGAGTGCCAAGTGCTGCCTGGCAGGGCTTCGGTAACCTTATGGGGTTCGGTCGGGCATGTCCCCCTACAGGCGGATTCCGAACGAAACATGGAAGATACCCCAAAGACACCCACCAAAAGTGATCCAACGTAGCCAAAACATCGTCTCCAGACTGTAATTTGACTATGTTGAACATTCCTCCTGCAGGCCCGACCTAATTCTAGGGGGCTCCCCCGTCTGGGCCGCGCCTCGTCGCGCGCACCGCGGCCCTGTCGGCGCCCAGACGCGTCCCTGGCGATCTCCAGGGCGTCCATGGCCTTCTGGGTGGACCCAGGAGGACACCAAGGAGGAGGCCCCGAAGAACCCCGAGGGCGCTCCCAGAGAACACCCGCACACATCAATGATTTCCACTGTGTGTCTCAATGGTTGTCACGTTGTCCTTTTCAAGCTTCAAACGCTCCAAGACGGCCCCAGGGGCCCCGAGACAGCCCCAAGTCGGCCCGAGAGGCCCCCAAGACGGGCGTTAGACGGCCCAAGAGGGTCCCAAAAAAGCCCCAAAGGCGCCCGAATCAGCCCAAGAGAGCCCTAAGACGGCCCAAAGAGGGGGCCGGGTCAAGGGGGGGAACATGAACCGACAATGCCAGCCTGAAGGCCCGAAGAGGTTCCCAAGAGATCCTACGAAGCCTCCAAGGAGCCCCAAGACGCCCCCAAGAGGTCTCCAAGAGGCCGCCAGACGGCCCCCGAGATGCCTCGAAACTGCCTCCAACAATCCCCCGAGAGTGCTCCCACGATATCCCAATGATCGTCCTCCTCCTCCTCCTCCTCCTCCTCATCATCACCATCATCACCACCATCATCACCATCATCATGATCATCATCAGCATCATCATCATCATCATCATCATCATCATCATCATCATCATCAGCATCATCATCATCATCATCATCAGCAGCATCATATTCATCATCATCATCATCATCATCATCATCATCATCATCATCATCAGCATCATGATCATCATCATCAGCAGCATCAGCATCCTCATCTTCATCCTCATCCTCATCCCCATCATCATCATCAACATCATCATCATCATCAACATCATCATCATCACCATCATCAGCATCAGCATCAGCATCATCATCAGCATTATCAGCATCATCATCATCATCATCATCATCATCATCATCATCATCATCATTAGCATCATCATCAACATCATCATCATCACCATCATCATCAATCGTCGTTCGCATGACGCCAATCCCTCGCAAATACGGCCACCGGTGCCCCCCCTCGAAGGAGAGCCGCAAAGGCTGCAGGGCGTGCACGGTGGCGGGATTTGCCACAGACAGCCGGGTAAATTCAAATTGCCCACCATCTAGCGGAAATCCGCGTCGGCCCACCTCGAACATGGCATCAGTGAGCAAACGTACACACCAAAAGAAAGCCCCGGCCCCGCACGCTCCCCGACGAAAAACGGACGGCGCCAGGATCTCAGGGAAGGCGGAGGTCCCTCTCGGTTCGGGGTCCAGAAACTCGGGGGGAGCCGAAAGGGGGGGCATGGCAAAGTATAGGGTAGAGAATCAGCTCGCGGAGCTGATTTCCCCAGCGCCTCCCGGCGTCGGGAGGCGCCAGTGCATCGAGGGATGGGCCCGGCGGCGGGGCCGAAACCAGCTGCATGCCGCAGATTTCGTGACCCCCCCTACGCCCGAAATGGGTACGGAAAAAATGGGTACAATGCCCAACAACACATGTTGTTCCAAACCAACAGCGGCCGCTGTTGGGCAGGCGGCCTTCTGCCTCGAATGGACACAGGCCGCGGCGGCGTGGACAGCGAATCCTGTTCAGAATGCACAGGAACTGCTGTTGGGCATTGTACCTGTTCTTTCCGTACCCATCTCGGGCGCCCAGATTTCCCGACGCCCCCCTTTCCGTTCGGCCCGAGAGACGGGGGCGCGCGGTGACGGGCCGCGCGGTGACCCCGGCATCCCAAAGGACTTCACCGCGCGCTCTGCCGCTGGGCGGCCTTTTCTGGGGCCCCGGGCTCCCTGGCCGCCCGAGGCGTCCTGGGGGAATGGCCCGAGGCCCGAAGCCGGGCGGCCACCCCGAGATCCGCACCGAGGCTCACCACGCGGCGTGGTCGCCGCACCGTTCGGGGGCCCGCGCGGGGGCGGACCAGCCGCGCGGGGGCGGCATGACTCGGGGGCGCGCAGACACGGACTGGCGATCCCATGGACTCGGCGCGCCGTCGCCGAATCCACGGATCGGGGAGGTGCCCTCCCCGAAGATGCGGCCGGTGCCGCCCCGCTCGGACGCGGAGATCCGCGACTCCCCAGGGCAACGGGGCCCGTCGCTGATCCGCGCCACCTTGATCCATGTTTGCGATCGCCTGAGAAATCCACACTGCACGAGCGCGTTCCACTACTCGCAAAGTAACTACTCGCAAATGGCCCGGATCCCCCGCGGAGGATCTGCGATACACTATATCAAAGCGGACATGTGTTTTTTTCTGACGTTTGCGAGTAGGCACTTTGCGAGTACGTCTTGGAACGCGCTTGGTGACACACTGACTCACCACACGATGTGGTCACAGCACAGTTTGGGGACCCGCGAGGGTGGCGGACCAGGCGCCCAGGGGCGGCACGAGATGCCCCGACCGCGCGGGGGTGGCACGGCGCCTGCGCCGATCGACGCGGCGCTCTCAAGAGGAGGAGGAGCACCCTTACTTGGAGGCCTGGAAATGGGCACCGACACCAGCACAAGGGGTTGCCTCCACAGGGGGAAGATGATCCTAGATGTCGGTGTTGGTGGCAATATGTCGGCCACCGTGGAAGCCAGAATATTACCACCATCACCGAGATCGGGATCCTTCCCTCGGTGGAGGCACAACGCCGAAATTGGTGTTGGTGTCAACCTCTTGGCCTGCGACATACCCGGAAGCTGGGCGAAGGCTGGCAAATCCGTGGCTGCTACAATGGTCTTCCCAAAGGGGGAGAAAAAAAAAAACAACTTCCCGGAATGTAACTCAGCTCGCTGAATAGTAAACGGACTGCTTCCCGGAAGAAAAAACAATTTCCCGGAGCTCCGTTTTGGCAGCCACGGGTTTGCCAGCCTTCGCCTGGCTTCTGGCATACCCTGATGTCCCCCTGGGAACGACTTTCCCGAAAGCCGGTTTCATTGGAAAGCCGTAGTATGGAGCGCCCCGTGCAGACGTCCATGCAGCCACATGTGACCCCTCCCTGCAGGTCAGATGCCTGAGTCTGATCGGCCCTCGAACCCCGAATGGATAGAATTGTCCTAGCTTGTGCAATGGGCAGTGGCAATGATGATGATATCCATTGTGATGATGCCGTGCCAGGGGCTGTGCTAGGCTGCGCTGCGCTGGCTGCGCCATGCTGTGCTGAACTGTGCTGTTCCATACCGTACGCTCTACTGCGTTGTGGATCGAGTCGTCCTTGGCGTTCGTATCACGACCGAACTGATCTGGATCTGTAGCTCGAGCTGCCTGAAACCATGGCTCGCCCAGAACGGTTCGGAATCGAACGTGCGGGTCGCTCAGCCAGCTCGAACTCACGATCCGATTCAGTTCCCACACGGGACGAACTGACAGGGGCACAAGGCGCGTGAACTCGCCAGAGAATGTGCCAGGGGCGCACCAGAAGATGCACCAGGGAAAGTGCCAGGGGAAGTGTCTGCCAAGGCGCGTGCCAAGCGACGTGCCAGGGAACGTCATGCGTTGCCAAAGAAATACCAACGGAGGTGCCAGGGGGACGCGGCAAGGGACGCGCCAGGGGACGCGGCAAGGGACGCGTCAGGGTAGGCGTCAGGGGACGTGGCAAGGGACGCGCCAGGGGACGCGCCACGGAACGGGCGCCAAGGAACGCACCAAAGGACGCGCCAGGGAACGTGCCAGGGGACGCTCCAGTTTACGTGCCAGACGGAGGACGTGGTAGTGGACGCGCCAGGGGACGTGCCGAGGGAGAAGCGCCAGGGGGGGGCACACCAGGGAACATGCCAAGGGACGAACCAGAGAACGCGGCACCAAACGGGCAGGGGAAGCGCTAGAGGACGAGCCAAGGAACGCGCCAGAGGATGCGCCAGGGAACGCGCCACGGGACGCGCCGGTGGACGTGCTGGGGGACGTGGAATTGGACGCGCCAGGGGGCGTGCCAAGGTACACAAGCGCCAGGGGGTACACCAGGGAACGTGCCAAAAGACGCGCCGTGGGATGCGCCACGGATAATGTCGAGGGGGGGCACGCCGGAGACGCTCGAGGTGACGCGCAAGCCAGGGGGAGTGCCGGGGGGCGCTCCAAGGGACGTGCAAGCGAGCGCGCCTGCAGATAAGCCAGGGGACGACGCACACTGCGCTGCGAGTCTTGTTCCTGGATCTTCGCTCTCGGGGACACGGCCCCTTGCAAATACCGCGGTGTCCGCACCACCTCTTGCAACGCACGCTGGATCCAAGCACCCACCCAGCGCCACCTGAAGATTGCGCTGGCTCCCAGGGGAACAACCCTTACGCTGCGTCCGCGCTCCCATGGCCACGATCCCTCGCACAATACACAGGACTCCCGCTCCAAGGGCATCCAGGGGCGCCCAGGAGCTCTTCTGTGTCTTCCGGGGTCTCTGCATCACATTATTTGCACAAGATTCTAAGCGTGGGGCGGTTTCCCCTCCTGGGCCGCGGAAGCCGCACCCCCGCAGGTCCTTCAAAGCTGCGGCGCGCTCTGGCCAGGCCAGCAGTCTCCGTTCTCTGAGGCCAGCAAGTTCCATACCCCGGCAGGCGCTGCGGCGGTACGGCGGAGGGCAAACTTTGGCAGGCCCTCCCGGGGCACGGCGCGATCCAGGTCCAGGCGGGCCAGCAATTTCTCTACCCTGGCAGGCGCTGCTGGGGTACGGCGGTTCCCCCTGGGCCAGGGAGGCGACGCTCCCAGACGGCCCAAACCGCTCCGAAAACTGCCCAAGACGACTCGAGAGCTCTCGAAGAGGGCCCCAAAACGGTCGAAGAGGGCCCCAAGATCGCCCAAGCGGCCTTAAAGACGGGCCAAGAGGCCTCCAAGACGGCTCCACGAGAGGGCCGAGATTGCGCACCAGAACGGACATTTCGAGCGGATGTCTCGGTTTGGCGCTCGCCCCCCATAGCGGCGCCTCTGGCGCCGCCCCTGGCGCGTTCCGCCCCTAGCGCGTTCCGCGCGCCAGGGAAGGGGTTCTACGCGCTCCACAACTTTGCCTGATTATGTCGAGCTTTCTGCGCCAAGATGCCCCCAGGAAGCCCCAAAAGGCGACCAAGAAGCCCCAAAAGGCCCCGCAAAAGTTCCCAGGAAGCCCCGAGAGGCTCCCAAGAGGTCCCAAAATGCCGTCACGAGGCCTCCCCAGAAATCCCGACAAGCTTGCCAAATGCCCAGGCAACACCGCAGGAGTCTGCGACGAACCCCCGAAACCAACTCCAGTCACTGCGTCACCTCCAACGCACCCGACGCACTGCCTTAGGAAAACAGCCCCCGCCCATCCGCTCTGCATTAACAACGGTCACTCGAGCAATCGATAGCGGTGCGACAACATAGGCTGGCGGAATGAGCGAAGCGATGAAATAAGACAAGGCGGCCTGTGGCATCCAGGGAGATATCGTGGCCGCGGCCATGATACGCACTCCCTCCAGTCATTAACCCGCTGTTGGCCGCCCCCGAATCGCACGAAGCACTCGCAGGCCGGCACCCAGCGAGAACCCGAGCCCAGCCAGTGCGCGAGAAACCTATGAGGCGCCCACTGGGCAGTCACGGGCCGACGGCCCAGAAGACCCAGCCCGCGCACGGGGCACCCCTCCTCCTCCTCCTGGTCCTCCTCCTCCTCCTCCTCCTCCTCCTCCTCCTCCTCCTCCTCCTCCTCCTCCTCCTCCTCCTCTCCTCCCTCCTCCTCCTCCTCCTCCTCCTCCTCCTCCCCTCCCCCTCCCCCTCCCCCTCCCCCCTCCGTCTCCCCCTCCTCTCCCCTCCTCCTCCTCCTCCTCCTTCTCTCTCCTCCTCCTCCTCCCTCCTCCTCCTCCCTCTCTCCTCCCTCCTCCTCCTCCTCTCCTCCTCCTCCTCCTCTCCTCCCTCCTCCCTCCTCCTCCTCCTCCTCCTCCTCCTCCTCCTGCCCCTCCTCCTCCTCCTCCTCCTCCCCCTCCTCCCCCTCCTCCTCCTCCTCCTCCTCCTCCTCCTCCTCCTCCTCCTCCTCCTCCTCCTCCTCCTCCTCCTCCTCCTCCTCCTCCCCCTCCTCCCCCTCCGCCCCCCGACGGCGACGAATCCGACGACTCTGACTCCGACTCCGACTCTGACTCCGACAACCACTACGATGACCGCGCGCGAGGCGCGGGAAAAGGGCGGTCGAAGGCCTTGGGGGTCTGGCCCTCCACGGCCTCGTCCTCCCAAGCCTCGTCATCCCAGGCGTAGGGCTGGCGGGCGCGGCGGGCGCCGTGCTTCGGAGGGATTGCCGCCGCTGACAGTCGACACCGCCGCCATCGCCGTCGCGGTCGGTGTCGTCTCCCTAGCCGATTGGTCGTGGTCACTGCGGTTGCAGTCGCCGTGGTCGTCGGACGCGACGGTCGTCGTAGCCGCTGTCGTCGCAGTGGTCATCGTCGCCATTGTCGTCGTCCTCGTCGTGGTCGCCGTGGTCGTCATCGTCGCGATGGTCGCCGTCGATCGTCGTCGTGGGGGTCGTGGTCCCCGTAGTCGTCGTGCTCGTCGTGGACGGCGTGTTGTCATTGCGGTCGTCGTCGTGGTCTTCCTCCATCTCCTCATCCATCTATCACTCCTGATTACCCTAATCCACTCTCATCCCCCTCATCATAAAACCCTGTCAGACAAAGACTTTCCGAGGGTCCCTACGAGCTCGTCAAGGACCCCTCCGGCCCTGGCAGACTACCACAATCACTCACCAGGACAACTTGAGCCCAGGAAATAGCCCAGAAAGTGCCAAGAACCCGTCCTGAGGCTCTGTTGGGAGCTTCTTGGGACGTCAAAGAAGACCTGGACGCTGGCCAAAGCAGCCAACATTTGCTGGAAAAGAAACTTACAACGTTTGTTTCATGCTTTTCGCATGCTCGGCGTGTTACTCTAGGGAGCGTCAAAGGCGGCCACCAAGATCCGCCAAAGAAGGCCCCCGTGGACCCAAAAAGGGGCCCCAAGGGCCTCAAGAGGCCCCCAGGAGGGGCCAAAGATGGGAATTCGAATCGAATGCGAAAGTCTGCGAGCGACGTCCGGCAACCGTTCGAGGACACGCTGAGAAGGAGGCAGGATGAGGACAACTCCTGATGAGCACAGGCAGTTGGTCTCCAGGAGCCAGCAGCAGGCCTGGAGGATCTACCCGGCGCCGCGGCCGTCCTATGGCGCCATCCAGGGCCCTGGAGCGACTCGGCCTCATCCTGGGCCTTCCTGGCATTCCTAGGGCGGGAATGGACATACGTCATCATACGGCTGGCTCAAGGTACTTGCCAGCAGCTCCATCATACGGTTGGCTCAAGAAACGGCTCGAGATACGTGCTCCGAAGATCTGGCGGCCCTCGTTGATGCCGCCCGTGTGGTTGGCCCAGAAATATATCGGCAACCCAGGATCTCTCGAAAAGATCTTGGAACGCATCCTTGCCATGACCCCCTTGCTTCACTGAATCTCCCTCCCCCTCGGGCGGCGGCGCCTCCTCCTGATCCTCCACCGCCTCCTCGTCGCCGCCCTCCGCCTCCCCCATGAGGGCGTCCCAGGACTCTTGCATCTCCATCTCCTGGATGCGCTCGTTCAGGATGCGCTCCGGGACCGAGACCATGCCTGAGGCCCCGCCCGCGGTGGGGGGGACCGGCCGCCGCCGTGTCTCTTCCCTCCTGCTCGGGCAAAGCCGTGGGGGGGGGGGGGGCCGCCCGCCGTGTCGGGCGCCCGCCTCCTCCTCCTCCTCCTCCTCCTCCTCCTCCTCCTCCTCCTCCTCCTCCTCCTCCTCCTCCTCCTCCATTCCTCCTCCTTATAGATAACTCCTCCCCGTCGCACCCCGAGGCCAGTTTTCAGGGCGGGCCGGGCGTTTCGCCTGAGACTTCCTCACCAATTATGACTCTGGAGCTTGAAGAGGTGGCAACAGTTTCACGGATGGGGGGCGGGTGGTTTTCAAACTGTGGCTCTCGCCTGAGCGCTGCGCACATTCGTTTCAAACATGTGCAAGAGCTTCACGGATTGAGGGCGTGTGGTTTTCAAAATGTGGCTCTCGCCTTAGCGCCGCGCACATTCGTTTTAAGAGCTTCACGGATTGAGGGCAGGTCGTTTTCAAAATGTGGTTCTTGCCTATCGCCGCACACATTCGTTTTTACAATTTGCAAAGGTTTCACGGATTGGGAGCGGGTGGTTTTCAAAATGTGGCTCTCCCCTTGGCTCCGCGCACATTCGTTTTGAAAATTTGCAAGAGTATCGCGGATACCCATGATCAACGCACCAGACATGGCGTTTTGGAAGAATTCAGGACTATGCGGGCGCAAGAAATATGTTGCTTCGCTGTGTTGAAATCCCGAAAATAGCGTTCTGGCACGATTCCAGATCGCCAAGACGCAGCAGACGTGTTGATACGTGGCGTCGAAATCCCGAAAACTATGTTTTGGCACGCTTCAGGATCTTCAAACAATTGTCTTCAAACGAGGCAGTTCTCGAGGCCGTTGAAGAGGGAGCTTGGAGGGACGGTGAATGCCAACATCGTTGACGATTCTTGGGTTTCCACTGGACTTCCTCCTCCTCCTCTTCCTCCTCCTCTTCCTCCTCTTCCTCATCCTCATCCTCCTCCTCCTCCTGCTCCTCCTCCTCCTGCTCCTCCTCCTCTCCTTTTCCTTATGAATAAACACTCTTTGTCGCACCCCGAGGCCAGTCGGAGGGGCGGGCCAGACACTTCGCATGGGACTTCCCTGCCACTTCTGGGCCTCAGGCGAAACAGCGGACAACAGTTTCACTGATGGCGGGCGGGTCGCTTCTAAAATGTGGCTCTCGCCCGAGCGCCACGCGCACTCGTTCCAATCACTTGCAACCATTTCACGTGTTGAAGACATGCCATTTTCAAAAGGAGTCTCTCGCATCAGCGCCGCGCACATCCGTTTCAAAACTGCGCCGGCAGAAGTGTCAACGGATTGACAACAGCTCTTTTTTGTTCAAACTGTGTTTCTAGCCTTCCCGCAGCGCGCATTCGTTTTGAACCATTGCAGGAGTTTCACGGAAAGAACACAAGCCGTTTTCAAAATGCGGTCGTCGCCCTAGCGCCGCGAACATCAGCTGTCTTTGCTGAATACTTAAGAAAGGTTTTACTCGATCTCAAGATTACCGTGCCAAAAAAGTGTGTTGCGGGATGGTTTAGGACTGGAACGGCGCAACAATGTTGTTGATTCGTCGTGTTGGAATCCCAAGAACGGCATTCTGGCAAGATGCCAGATCGTCAAAGCGCAACAGTGAAATTGAATCGTGACGTTGAAATCCTGAGGACGGTGTTGGCACGCTTTGGGGCACTTCCCTCAGTGGAAATGAGTTCTTCTTCGGGCATATGAAAAGGGAGCTTGGAGGGAGGGTGTTTTCCAAAATCGTTGATGGGTCCTGGGTTTGCACTAGCGTTCCTCACCTTCCTCCCCCCTCGTCGTCCTCCTCGTCCTCGTTCTCGTCCTCGTCGTCGTCCTCCTCTTCCGCCTCTTCCTCCTCCTCCTCCTCCGCCTCTTCCTCCTCCTCCTCCTCCTCCTCTTCCTTCTCCTTCTCCTCCTCCTCCTCCTCCTCCTCCTCCTCCTCCTCCTCCTCCTGTTGTTCCTCACCCTCCCACACCCCATCTTTTGTCTCAATAAATGCGCTTCCCGGACGCACCCCCGGACGTGTCGGTATGTAGGGCGGGCCAAACGCTTCGCCTGAGACATCTGCACCACGTATGAGATTGAAGCATGGAGCTTGCAACACATTCAAACATACAGGGCGGGTGGTTTCCAAAGTACAGTTCTCGTTTCAGCGCCGCGCACACTTGCGTTACAAATGTAATACCCTTTCGGGGGTCCGTAGGGTAAACGTTTCAAGCAAAACTATGTGTTGCCACGAGCAACAATCACGTTAATTCTCGACGTACCAATCCCAAGAAATAGATTATAGCATGCATCAAAATTGCCAAGGCGCAAGATACGCTTTGATTCGTGATGTCGAGTTCTAAAGAACTCTGTGGTGATTCAAACGGTTGTGCTCCAAGTGGGCACCTCCCGCAATGAAGATACATTATTGTAGAAACTTCTGAATGGGGAATTTGGAAAGAGGGTGGATTTCAACATGGTTGATGCGTTTCGGACATACACAGGTCCTCATACTACCTACTAACCCTTTTCCCCGGCTTGCTCATGTTCCCCCTCTTTCGCCTCCCCCCAATTCCTCATCCTACTCCTCCTCTTCCCCCTCCTCGCCCAACGAATCGTTATATACAGCTACCACCGCCAGCACCATCAGCAGCATCAACATCGAAGCGTACCGAACAACTCCACATGAGGCGGTCTGCGCACAGTACCAAATAGCCCAAGCATCGGGACATCGCGAACAACGATTGTGATAGATGCACGTGTGCACACATTCCAAGCCGCTGCCCTTTCGGGCGCGAGACCCGTGCTGCCACCCGCCGGGCGGTCCGCCGAGGAGGCGCGCATCCAGGCGGGTGCCCCGCTCCATGGAACCGCCCCCGAAACGCATTCGGTTCGGACCTCCTCCTGCCCGACCAGCCCGTGAACAAAGGGCCCCAAATGCATCTGCCGTGCAGCATAAGGCTGGACAACAGGAGGGCTTCGAACCCCTGGATGGCGCCACCGTCCCAGCCTCGTTCACCCCCCCCCCGCCCCACGCCGACCCCCACGACCGCCCCCCTCCGCATATTGATCGAACTAGCGCCAGGGAGGAGTTCCACAGGGATGCGAGGTGGAACGGGGAGAAAGACGTCTGACAAACTCGGCGCTCCTGCAGCGCACTCAGGCGCGCCCCCCCTTCACTATCAGTCGCCGCAAGCGCTCACGGCTGTGGGGGGGGGGGGTAGTTTTCTCTACGCTGTTCCCGCGGGCTCCGCCAAGCACCTGGACGTTTCTCGCTATGGCGGGCAGGTCCTGGGAGGGCGGCCCCCAACCTCGACCTCTTGGGGGCGCGCCCACTCCGACGTGCCAATCATCGTTCCCGCCCCCGTCTTTCCGAAACTCATCGCCGGCGCCCCGTGCGTTTGCTTTCCGTTTGGCGCCTCACTTCTGCAATAGCGGAACATCAGGCAATGCTGCTCGGGGTTCCTTGGGGCAGCTTTATCGCCCGATCCTTCCCGTGCCCCGCTGAAGGCCTGTAGAAAACTCTGCTCGGTTTCGCCCCCACCCCACCCCTGCCGCCCATGCCGCTGATTTGTTTTTTTGGGGGGGCGCCTGACGCGTGGCCTGCGCCCCCTTTGAAGCCCACCCCCCCTGGATCTGCCTGGCCCCTGGTCTTCCTGGCCTCGTTCTCCCCGTCATATCCCTGCCCTGCCCGAATCAGCTGCGCGCCCACCACCCCCTCCGCCTAAGAGACGACGGCTGCGTCGCACGCGCGCGCATCGATGGGCGCCACCTGCCTCGCCTTTACCGCCGATGGCTTGGCAGTCGCCGCGCAGCTCGACCGCGCCGCCGCCCCCCCCCGCCCACGCCGCCCTCGCCGCTGCGCGTCTGACGCTGCCCCTCGGGCCCCGCGCCGCCAGCGCTGGGCCCCACGCCCAAGCCGCGCTTGAGCCAGCCGGGCATGGCAGGGTCGCGCGCCGCGCGCCGCCCCATAGTCGCGACGCCGAGATGGCCCAGGGCAGGCGGTTGACACCGAGCGCCTCCTGAGGCCGCCCCAGTTCCCTCGAAATCGCGCTGGGCGCATGCCCAGCTAGCGGACGCTCGCGAAGCCGCGCGACTCTGCCATCGCGGCCGCCGCACCGCCCTCTCCGCAAATTCTTCGCTGCCGAAATATGCCCCGCAGAGACCTTTTCGCGCGCGAAGCGATGATCGCATTGTCCCAGCGCGCGGCGGAGTCCGCGCACGTCGCGCGCACTGCGCAGGCGGCGAAGCAACCAGGGGCGCGCCTCGGACCGGGCCTAGCTCCACCCCGCGCGCAAGTACGTCACATTACGTGATTCAGCGGGTCCGGCCCACCTCAGGACCCAGGACCGCCACAGCCCCATCCTCGCGACGCGCGGGGGGCGGCGTCTGCGCAGTCTGTCCGCGCGCCCTCGCTCTCGCGCAGTCGCAGGTGAACCTCTCGGCCAGATCACGATCCGCCCCGCGCCCCCGCCGCGCCTGCCTCAGCTACTCCACCAATGGAACCCCGCGCCGGTTCACCCGTGAACTCCAACGCACGCCCCCGCCCTTCCCGCCCGCGGCGGCGCCGTCTCCAGGGGCCCCGCGTCGACGCGGGGGGGCCTGCCGGATGGGCCCATCCACGAACGGCGCGGAGGACGGGGGCAAGGTGCGCCGCGGTCTTCTCGCCCAGCTCCGGCACCGCCGCGGCCGCGCCGCGCCCGCGCCGGTCAGCTTCCAGCGCGCCAGAATCTGCCACCTCGCCAGGCAGCAGGCGACCCCCCCCCCGCGGCCACCCCCCACCCCCCCGCCATTGCGAGGCGCCCCTCTCGCCCGAGACACAGGCTGCGCCTCCGCATCTGAGCCTCGGACAAGATGAAGCACCCCATGCCCGCGGGAAACGCGCCCACCCCGCGCCGCTCGCATCCAACGCGGCCGGCCCAGGCACCCTAGTAGCCAGACGTATTCTTCACGGCAGATCATGTTCCAGCGTGCCCCTCGGGGAGATCAGGGCCCAAGGCGGCGCGCGGCGTCGTTCTCCTCGCCCAGGTCGCCCTGCTCGACCTGGCCCTGGCCCTGGAGATGCTGACGCCAAGCCGTTGTACCACTGCCCTGCGCGTCGACGCTCGCGACCCGCTCGCCCCCGTTCTGCCCCGTGCCGACCTTGTCCGGGGGGGCGCCCAGCGCGCCATCTGCCCCCTTCAAGCGCTGCGCCATCTCCTTGATCGCCGCGCCCGCCTCTAAACACCCGCCGAAGTCGCCCGCGCAGCGGCGGCGACCGAGGTCGACGTCGGGGGAAGGGGGGGGGGGCGCGCTCGAAAGTGGGCCGGCGGCTGGCGATTGATCTCGAACTCGCCGCGCCCGCGCGCCCGTCAGCCCCGCGGAGGCCGCCGCGAAGGCGCCCGCGTCGAATGAGCCCCGCGTCGCCGCGCCCCCCCCCGCCCTCGCCGCGTCGCGCGCGGAGTTCCGCCGTCGCGTCACTGATGCGCTGCTCGCGCAGCCCTGCCGCCCCGCGCCCTCCTCCGCCGCCCGGCCCAGCGCGCCCCGGCTCGCCGGGCCAAAGGCGTGCTGCTGGCCCCTCATCGCCGCCGCGCTGCTCCAGCCCCCCTGGCCGAGCCTCCTAATCAGCGCCTGCGATGCCGCGACTGCCCTCGCCAATCTCCTGCCCATCGATTATTCGCCACTCCCGCGGAGCGCGTTCGCCCTCCGCTTCTTCGCGCGGAACGCCTTGCCCACGCCACCGTTGAAAATGCCCCCCGCCCCCCCGCCCCTCCAGCCGCCACCCCTTCGCCGCGCAGCTTGCCCGCGGGCGCAACTGCCCCGCCGCGACGCTTGCGCGGCGGGGCCAGACTCGCAGCGGCGTCCGCCGACCCCTCGAGCTCGGCGACGGCGGGCGCCGCGGGGGGCAGCGAGCCCGTTCATTCTCGATCGCCCCCCCCCCCCCCCCCCCCCCCCCCCCCCCCCTCCGAAACTCACCCGCGCCAGCCCCCCCGCGCCGATCAAGTCTCTCCTGCAGCGACGACCGATTCGCTCCTGCCGATGGCAATGGTAGGGGCCGTCTGCCACGTCGGTGTTTCGCCCCGAACCTGCATCTCTCAGCAAGCATGGAACTCTTCGTCGCAAATGAAAACCGCCTCTTTCTGCCCCCGGACGTCCCCATGTTCTGCCGCTGGCTCGGCGCAATCTCGAGCGCTCGCCCGATCCCCCGGCGCCCCGCGCCCGCGCGCCCCCCCCCCCCCCATCGCTCACTGAGGTCGGCCCGCGGCGCGGGCGACTCTCGTCGTCGAGCTGACCGCGCCCTTCGCCTCGAAGCGCCCGCGCCCGACCTCCCAGACAGCGGCCCCCAGCAGCTCGAGGAAGCCGACTAGCGTTCCCAATTTGGCCAGCTCTTGTGGCGCATCTCGTTGGCCTCGCCTGGCCGACGGGAAACCCATTCTCTGTGCCCCATTTGCGAAAGCATGCAGCATGGCCGTCGGGCAACCCCGCACCTGTCGCTGAAGTGTCTCGCCATCGCCCCCCTGCTTCTGGCGGCGCAGTTCGAGCAACAGTTGCAGGCGGCCCAGGAGAGGCGTTCCCCCGTGCCCATGTCTCGCAGCGCGCGCGCACCCCTGTTCCACCCGGGCGGATTGCGAGCCCAGGTTCGCCCCGCAAGGGGGGTGGCGCAACCGCCCACTGCTCGCCCAGCAAGCGCACGATGCACTCTCCAGCCCCTCATTGTCGTCGCTCTCTGTCGCCCGCCTGCCCAATCCAACCGGCGTAACAAATTTGCCACGCGCTTCCGCCTTTGATGCTCCGACCTCGTCGTGCGAGCCCGCGAGAAACACGTGCAGTCAGTGTTCTCAGCGGTGTCTCTTGTAACAGATGGTTCCGCCTGTTCGCCAGCGTTTTCGCAGTATGTTTGTCGTCTAGTGGCCTGGCACCCTTCTCTCACCCATAAGAGCTGGGTAATGCGGGGATCACCACATCCATCATCCCATTCTTCGCTCGCGCCGCCAGCGTCTGACCACCTGCCCCAGGTGGTGTCCCACGCGCGGCGCATGCGGCTCGATTGATAGCCTCTTGTCGCGCATGATCGCGCATATTGCATGTATGTTGGAATTGGGCCCTATTGGAACATTGCCACCACCGTCAATGTTCCCTCCGCCCGCTGCCAAAAACATGATCGAACCGAGAAACCAAAAAAATAATTTGAACGCGCCAAACACGGCTACGTTTCCAAAACACCTGACTGGGCGACAGGCAATTTCAATGCTGAGCGTATCGGTTGTGATATACCGTGCCAAGGATTGCGTTGTGATGTGCCGCGCGGGGATTAAATGTGTTATGCCACGATGAATCCCACCAGCCCTCTGGGCGTAGGTGGTTTAGGAGGTTCCTATTCCAGTCCCCTTCTTCCCCTTCGGGGAAGGGTCTACCCCTCCCCACTACCCCCCCTCTTGACCTGGACGGAGCGCCCCGCGCGGTGTCAGAGGGCACTTTTTCGCACAAGATGGTCCCAAGAGAGCATCGGAGCCCAAAAAGACCTCCATGATGGCTCAAGATAGCCCAGGCTGCCTTCAGCCGGCCCCTAAGATGCTCCAAGAGGCCCCAATAACGCTCCAAGACGGCTCCAAGACGCCTCCGAGACCTCCAAGGAGGCCTCCAAGAAGCCAGAATCCTTCCAACACCTAAGGAACATCAATGGGTGTTTGCTTCCTCGACTTCTCGTTTCCGATGGCCATCTGAGGCCTCAAGATTGCCCCAAGATGGCCCAAGGGCCCCAGGAGAGACCCAAGAGAGCCCCCAGACGGCCCCAAGAGCGCCCAAGAGCGCCCCTGATAACGCCCCAAAAGCGCCCCAAGAGGCGACTTTTGGGGCGCCCAAGGAAGGAGGGAAGGAGGGGGGGGGGGGGGGCGAATTAAGGAACCAACCTCTTCTTTGATCGATCGATCTCCTCCAAGATGGCCATAAGAGCGCCCCTACGTAAGGCGCCCAAGAGCGCCCCACGATGGCCACAAAAGGCGCCCAGACGGCTCCAAGAGGCGCTCAAGATGCCTCCAAGAGGCTCCCAAGAGGCTTCAAGAGGATCCCCGAGGCACCCAAGACGCTCAATGACGGCCCTGGGCTCGCAAACATGCCCCTCCTCCTCCTCCTCCTCCTCCTCCTCCTCCTCCTCCTCCTCCTCCCTCCTCCTCTCCTCCTCCTCCTCCTCCTCCTCTCCTCCTCCTCCTCCCCCCTCCCCCTCCTCCTCCCCCTCCCCCTCCCTCCTGCCCCTGCTCCCCCCCAGGCCGCGGCGGCCGCGCGAGGGGCTGCGGAGGCCGCGCGAGGCGCTCGGGTGCCAGACGGGCACGGCCCTCTGGACACCCTCGGTGCCCGCTCCCCCCGCACCCGCCCTGCTGGGCAGGAGGAGCGGCGCCCCGCGCCGTGTCCGCTGCACCTGAAGCTCTCTGACCGCGTGCCATCCCCAACGTGTCGTGCTTTGTCCACCGAAGCCCACCAGTGCGACCCGGGCGGCGCACGGAGGGCCGACACAGGCTGCGTGCCATGGGCGGGGCAGAGCAGGGCACACACACACACACACACACACACACACACACACTGGATCACATCGGGCTCACAGCCGTTCTGGGGCTCACCGGTGCGTCCCCGCGGGTCGACCGGTCGAACGGGGGCCGAAGATCGACCCGTCGATCGAGGATCGAGGATCGCCCAGTCGATCGAGGACGGAGGATCGATCGATCTATCGAGGATCGAGGACAGGTTCCTCGATCTATCGCCGAGCCATCCCGCTGCGCTGCGCAGCGGGGGCCCAGCGCCGCGCCGCCGAGTTCCCCGCCGACAGGCACCGGGGCCTTCCCGACAGGCATCGGGGCCTTCGCGGACCAGTCGTCGCCGCCTCCCCAGCCGCCGCAGCCCTTCGGCTTGCTCTTCCCCTTGGGCTTGCCCTTGCCCTTCCCCTTGCCCTTGTCCTTGCCCTTGTCCTTGCCCTTCGCCTTGCCCTTGCCCTTGCCCTTGTCCTTGCCCTTGTCCTTGCCCTTGCCGCCCTTGCCCCAGGCCGGGCAGCCGCCGGCCATCGCGAACGCCTCGGGCCCCAGCGGCCAGCGGAGGCGGGGGGGCGGGCCACTGACGCCCGTGGCCTCTGCCTTCTGCCCGCCGCTCCTCCCCTCGTCGTCTCCCTCTCCTGCCCCCCCGCCCTCGCTCCCCCCCCCTCTCCTGCCGCCCCCCTTCCTCCCTTCCTTCCTCCCGCCCCCCCCTTCCCCCTCTCCTCTCCCCCCCTCCGTATCCCTCCCCCCCTTCCCCCCTGAAACTTCCCTCGCTCCCCGCCTCAATCCCCCGACCCTCCTCCCGCAGTCCCTGCCACTAGTCCCCTCCCTCTCGCCCCCTGCTCCCTCCCCAATGCCTCCCCCCATCTCCCTCTCCCTCTCTCCCTCCCGCCCGACACGAGGCCCTCGTCGGCGCGGTGCTGCGGACAAGCCCATGAGGGTGCCCACTGGCGACGGCGGCGGCGACCGACATCGCCTGGTTGCCGCCTTCCGAGGCGGGGACTCATCCAGAACCACAGCCTGGAAAATCGATCTTCGGTGACCTTGGCAGGCGGTATGAACATGCTTCCCCCCCCCCGTGGCCCAAACATATCCATATCCAGCGCCTGCCGAGGTACCCGAAGAGCGATCCCCATGCGGCGGTTATGGATGAGCCCAGCCTCGCACTCCCTTCTTCCGAGCGCAAACAGCGCAGCCGCGGCCCCTCCCCAGCAGGATCGGCGGATATTCCGCGATACTCTCTGCGGACGTTCGGGGGATCGGCGCCGGCGACCTGCGTGCCGAAGGGGCTGCGGTGTCGGGGCCGTCCGTCTTCGGAAATCTCCCGAGGCGACCAGAAGGCCCCGTGCAGAGGCCCCCGCGGATGCCTCCCGGGGACAGGCCGAAACCAAGCCCGAGGGACCCACGGAACCCGGGGAGGAGCAGAAGTCTGACCCTGCTCTGGCGTGTCTGCTGCGCGCTGGTGTGCCATGCTGCGGGGTGCTGCGGATGTGCCGTGCCATGCAGGGCGCGGCGTGCGATGTCTCGGCACCTCGTCACGATGCCCGCCATCGGCATCATCAACGCTGTCGGGCCTCGCTACAGCACGCGCCAAATACGTGATGGATGCCCGTCCTGGCCAGAAGTATCGTACGCTGCAGCTCGTGCCAACTGCGTTGAAACATGATCGATCCACGAGCCCGGAAAAATATATAGGATTGCCCAAACATGGGCAATGGGCAATGGCAATACTGATGACATGCATGGTGATGATACCGTGCTAGGGGCTGTCCTGCGCTGCGCTGTGCCATGCTGAGCTGAACTTGGCATGTCACACTGCGTGAAACAGTGATGTACTCTATTGCGTTGCCGCTCGGATGGCCCTCGGCGTCTTTATTTGACCGAACTGATCTGGATATGTTCCTCGAGCTGACCGTACGCGTAGCTCGCCCAGAGCTGGCTTTCTTCGAAACGTGCGGGGCGCTCAACCAGCTAAACCCAAAGATCCGAACCAGTTCTGATCAAGGCTGGAACGAGTCGAACAAACGACAGGGGCCGCAGGGCGCATGGACGCGCCACATGATGTGGCAGGGGCGAACCAGGGATGTGACGTGCCAAGAGACGTATCACAGGACGTGCCATGGACGTGCCAGTAAGCTGCCACGGGACGTGCCAAGTGGCGCACCAGGGAGCGCAAAAAAAGAGACGTCATGCAAGGAGATGTCCCAAGGGACACGCCATTGGACGTGGCAAAGGACGCGCAAGGAGGACGCGCCACAGAACGGGCAGGGGAAGCGCCAGAGGACGAGCCAGGGGCCACACTACGGGACGCTCCGCTGGAGGTGGCAGTGAACTCGCCAGGGTAGGTGCCAAGAGAGAAGCGCCAGGGGACACGACAAAGAACTTGCCAAGGGACGTGCCATGGGGTGCGCCACGGCACGCGTCAGGGGCCGTGCTTCAGACGTACCAGGGGTACGCGCAGGCCAGGGGACGTGCCAAGGGACGCGCCGGGGCACGTGGCACGCAACGTGCTCGGAGACGAGCCACCCTGCTCTGTAAGCTGTAAGCCTTCTCCGCTGGCATATGTCACTGGATCCGCGCTCAAAGAACCACGGTGCCTCGTAATGTACGCTGCACCCGACCCGACCTCCCAACGCCACGACCTTTCTTACATTACGCTGCGGTTGCGCTCTCAGGGCCATTGTAACGAATTCACGCTCACATGGCCACCAGCCATAATAAGTGACGCTGCGTCCGCGCTCCCAGGGCCACGATCCCTTGTAAATCCCGCCGGCCATCTGTGCGTAGGTGGTCAAACGATGGTTCTCGTTGCTCTTTCAAAGCCCTCTCCCCTTCGGGGAGGGGTACCCTCCCCCTCCCCTCTCTGAGGTGTGGTGGGGGGCTCCACGAGGCGTCAGAGGGCCCATGTTCGCTCAAGATGGCTCCAGGAAGGCCTCGGATGCTCCAAGATGGCCCAAGATAGCCGACGATCCCCAAAGACCGCTCCAAGACGGCCCCACGTGCTCCAAGACCTCCCCAGGAGGCGAACATCGATCAACGACGTTCGCCGCCTCGTCTTTTCGCTTTCGATTGGCGTTTGAGGCCTCAAGATGGCCATAGGATGGGCCAAGAGAGCCCAAAGAGTCGCCCCAAGAGCGCTTCGAGAGGTGATTTTGAGGGCCCTATGCAGAGGGGGGGGGAGGGGAAGTTACGACGCCCCCTCGTTTGATCGATGTCCTCCACGATGGCCCCAAAAGGCACTCAAGGGCTCCCAAGACGGCCACAAGAGGGCCCCCATACCCTCCGAAAGAGCCCCACGATGGCCCCAAGACCTCCCAAAGAGGGCCCCAAGAGGGCCCCGAGACAGCGCCCAGAGGCCTCAAGAAGATCTCAAGATGGCTGCCTGAGTCCTTGTCCTCGTCCTCGTCGTCCTCCGCATCCTCTTCCCCATCCTCATTCGTTTCTTCCTCCTTCTCCTCCTCTCCGTTCTCACTATTTTTTGTGATGCCCCTGCTCTTGATCATTAACCCCCCCCTCGTTATCCCCCTCCTCCTCCTCCTCCTCGTCCTGTTCCTCCTCCTCCTCCTCCTCCTCCTCCTCCTCGTCCTCGTCCGCCTCCTCCTCCTCCGCGGTCCCGTTCTCGCCCTCCTGTTCCGTCTCCTCCTCGTCGCCGACCTCCTCCTCTTCCTCCTCCTCCTCCTCCTCCTCCCCCTCCTCCTCCTCCGCCTCCTCCTCCTCCTGCTCATCATCGTACCTCTATAGGCAGATGCTCGACTGCACGCTTCTACACATCCCTGAAAATCACAACCCGTTTGGGCACCGCTTCAGGATCTCGTCCGCTCGTTTCCGGCCAGCTCGCATCAGCAGCGCTTCTGACTGTACGGGTGAGGACACGTTTTCGGTCGCGGGCGGACGCGGAATCGCAGTCGCCGAGTTGAAAGGTCCGGGCCACGGGCCTATCAAATTAGCAACGCGCGAGCCTAAGAGCACAGCGGCCGAGCCCGGAATCAGAACCTACCGCCGGTGGGGCCGCAGGCTGAGGCTGAGCTGGCTGAGCGGTCTGCAAACGGCCAGGGTAGCTGATGCACACATGCGACTGACTTGGATCCTGCACGCCAGGAGAGGTCGTGACCTGTTCTGTACCTACAAACCACACGTCTGCTTAGCGGGGCGGTGCCACCAGGCGGGCGGACCCGGGAAGGTGGCGCGCAACCAGGAGAACAGAGCCCGACAGGTGCGAGCGCGCGCGAATTCAAGTGGGTACCGTGGGAGGAAGTCACCAGGTACGCAGACGGACCTTGTCGCCACAGGGCGCCAGGGGTCAGGGCCACAGCTGTAGCAAGGTACGTGCCAAGACAAGGCGGTAACGATGCGACAGTGGGGGGTGCGCAGACCACTGCAAGAAGGCTGAACCACTCCTGAATGAAACGGCAGACGAGCCCCCAAAAGGCCGGCACCAGTCAGGGCCAACTGAGGCAAATGCTGTTGACCAGACGCCCAGGGATTGCAGACGCAAACGTGGGGACTGGCCAGGGGGCGTGTGTCGGGGACGCTGCACAGAGCGAACCGCGAATTGCGCGGGAAGGGGAGACCGGGGCAGGTGGGAACTGACATCACCTATCCGGCGAGGGGAAAGAGGCGTCCTCCAGGGTTGTCCAACGCCAGGGGACGGCTGATGGCCGTACGAGCGCTGCAAGTCAGGCTGCAGGTACATACGGCCGATGGCCGCCCCATCTTTCATGTGGCAAATACTGTAGACCAGACGCCCAGGGATTGCAGACGCAAACGTGGGGACTGGCCAGAGGGCGTGTGTCGGGGACGCCGCACAGAGGGAACCGCGTATTGCGCGGGAAGGGAAGACCGGGGCAGGTGGGAACTGACATCACCTTACCGGCGAGGGGAAAGAGGCGTCCTCCAGGGCTGTCCAGCGCCAGGGGACGGCTGATGGCCGTACGAGCGATGCAAGTCAGACTGCAGGTGCATACGGCTGATGGCCGTCCCATCCTTCATGTATAGAGAGAAAGGGAGAGAGAGAGAGAGGGGGGGCCAGGGAGCGGCTGATGGCCGTAAGGGTAAGTTGGCTGTGAAAACTGGGGGCTGGGGCTGCCTGGTGGTCCTCAACCGAGTCTGGAGTGCGCATGACGCTGCCGCCTCCTGGTGCGGTTGGCGCGGAGCTGTCTGCTGCCTCTCCCCGCCTGTCGGGACCGGGGCTGTCCTTAGTGGCAGCATCGTCATCCAGTCTGCCCCCGTCAGCCCGAGCGTAGCATTGCTACTGCGAGCGTCCTCCTCCCCCGTTCTTGATGGCCTACCCGCCTCACGGCTGGTGGCCGTGTGACCGCATGAGAGAGTGGGAATGCCAGGGATACGGCTGATGGCCGTCTGCCCTTCTTCATTTCCAGTCTCCTCACCTGTCCATGACAGTCTACCCAGCCCACGGCTGGTGGCAGGGAGCACGCCTGGGGGAGTCGGGAAACCGAGGATACGGCTGATGGCCGTCAGCTCTTTTCACAATCCCAACCCGACGCCCACACCAAATGCCAGGGAAGCAGGAGGGACGAACGTCGGATGGCCAGCTGCCCCAGGAAGGGGTGCGGGGGCACAGGTGAGGACACGCGAAGCGTGAAGAATTACGCTGTGTCCGCGCTCCCAGGGCCACGATTCCAAGTAAGTTTGCGCTGCGCTCGCGCTCCAAAGGCCACGACCCATTCCAAATCCCGCCAGTCCTCTGGGCGCAGGTGGTCTAACGATGACGTTTGTTTCTTTCCTCTTCCAAAAAACGTCCATCCCCTTCGCGGAGGGGTTAATCACCGTTCCCTATTACTAAACACCCCATCCCCCAGGCGACTGGTAGCCAACCACGAACAATGCGGGCACCCCCCACCATCCCTGCGAAAAAAGTAATACAAAACACATTATGCCCCCAAATTCGGAGCATGCGCAGCCAACCCGATGCGGCCTCCCCCACCCACCCCTGTCAAAAAAGCAATACAGAGTACACTTGCCGGCGGCGGCGGCGGCGGCGGCTGCGGCGGCTGCGGCGGCGGCGGCGACGGCTGCGGCGGCTGCGGCGGCGGCGGCGGTGGCGGCGGCGCGGCGGCGGCTGCGGCGCGGCGGCGGCGGCGGCGGCGGCGGTGGGCGGTGGCAGCGGCTGCGGCGGCGGCGACTTGGCAGCGGTGGCGGCGGCGGCGGCGGCGCGCGCGGCGGCGGCGGCGGGGCGGCGGCGGCGGCGGCGCGGCGGCGGCGGCGGGCAGCGGCGGCGGCGGCGGCGGATTGGCCCCCAGTAGCTGCCCATCCAAAGACGACTGCTGAATATGCCGAGGCTCGGGCCAGAGTCGGGTGCTACGTATGTGTTGGGAGGGCGGGTGGGAATGAGCGAGACGGCTTGCGGGCGGGGAGGGAGTCTTGACCCCTCCCCCTACCCCTCCCCTGGACCTGGACGGGAGGGGCCGCGATCCGTTGGAGCGTCCAAGATCGGCCCCTGGGAGGGGCAATGTTTGGCACCACTCACGGGGATCGTGGCCCCCGAGGGGGGAGCCTCGATCGGGTGAATCTCTCCTTTGATCGATAGCCTCGAAGATGGCCCCAAAAGGCGCTCCAAGGCTCCCAAGAGAGCCCCAAGAGGGCCCCAAGAGGCACCCGACTCCAAGAGGGTCTCAAGAGGGCCCCAAGATGCACCCGAGAGGCCCCCAAGAGGCCCCCGAGCGGTCTCAGAGAGTCCAAGATGACCTCCAAGGTGGCTCAGATAGCCCAAGCTGGCTCAAGATGGCTCCCAAGATGCTCCTAACGGCCCCTAGACAGCTCCAAGAGCGCCCAAGAGCGCTCCAAGAGAGCCCCAAGAAGCGGTTTGCTGGCTCCTGAGGGGGGAGCTGAGTTGGGCCCCACCATCCTGTAATCGATGGCCTCTAAGCTGATCCCAAGAAGCCTTCAAGAGTTACCAAGAGGGTTCCAAGAGGGCCCCCCAAATTCCCAGAGATCAGCAGCAGCAGCAGCAACAGCAGCCGCAAGAATACCTCTAGATCGTTCCATGAGTCCTCGCCCGCGTCGACCTCATCCTGCTCCTAGTCCTCCTCGTCCCCGTCCTCATCTGCGTCCTCGGCCTCCTCGTCCTCTTCGCCCTCATCCTCCTCCTCCTCTTCCCCTCGCGGCACCCAGGGATGGCCCGAAGAGGCGCTGGCGGGGATACTTTTTGTCGCAGCCGCAAGCGAAGGCGCAGGCGGCGTCAAACCGCCCCGAGGGCCGGTATTGGCCCCCAGAGGCCGAAAATAGCAGCAACAACAACAACAAAAAAACTCCCGTCATGATTGTTTCATTTCCCGGGGGGGTTCCGGGTCTGGAGTTACGATGGGCACTGCGGGAGGCATGCTGTCGTTGCGCGGCCCACTGCGAGTCCGCCTGCGGGGGGGGCGTCTGCTGGGCCGGCGCCCGTGTTCCCCCTGAGAGCGCGCCGCTGGGGGGTGCGGTCGCTCCTGCAGGACCTGGTGCGCGGCTGTGACGTGTCGCCGGCAGCGCGTGCGCGGGCCGCGCCCTTGTTGCTGTCGTTCCCTGCTCTGTGGGTGCGCGGTGTCGTCTGGGGCATGACCTTCTTGGCTAGAGGCCTCCCAGATGGGGTCCGAGTAGATGGGGTCGGAGGATCGCGCCGCTTCGCCAATGCATCGCCGACGCATCGGCGACTTCGGCGTGGGGAAACACGAACTCCACATCGAGACGCATCGTCGATGCATCGGCGATGCGGCTCGATCCTCCAACCCCATATACTCGGACCCCATCTAGAAGGCCTAGATTGGCAGGTGTGAAGGGCGCCTTCGAACCTTTCCGGTGCCTGCTTTCCGCTGTCGTGGGCAGTTCCAGGCGGGGGAGCCTGCGGGAAGAGGCGCAGGGGATGGTAAGTCAGCGGGGCCGGTTTGCCTCCGTCGACTGGGGTCGGGGGGCCGCCGCCAGGGGCGCCTGCTGCTCCTTGGTCCAGGAGCGGGTTGGGGACGGGTTGCTGCGGCAAGGGGAGCTTCTGCTTGGGCGGGTTGTCGGGGTAGACTCGAGCCCCGTCCCGGGCCAGCATTTCCTGGGCGTCGGTCGGGCGGGCGTTCCAGAGGTCGACGAGGCAGCGCTCGCAGTACCAGGTCGCGTCCCACTGCATGCCAGAGAATGAAAAAGGCGGGAGACCATGATTCCCCAAACAAGCGCTTCAAACGGTACACCTTCAACAAGATATCCACCGGCCCTTCTCGACCTTGTAGAGAAGGTCCGCCAATACTTCGCACTCGAAGGGCCAGCACAACAAACTACAAGAAAACCCTGGACCCGCGCCAGTTCCGAGAAAAGTACCCCCTGGGGCAATGAATCGCGACCTGCGTTTCATGGCTCCGGTCTGTGGCCGAAGGCCCGACAGCAGAACCCTGGGGCCACGCTCATATTGCCAGGTAAGTGTGAGAAGAAGTCGCTAGCGACAACGCGTGCCAGAGGCTTGTTGGATACCGCGAGGGCATACAAATCGCACGCCAAAGTCAACGGCAGACGCACGATGGATACCCCCATTGCGCGCACACACACACAAACGAAAAGCGCGCGCCAAATATGCAGGGGGCAGGCGCATGTTGGACACCCGCCGTTCGCTCACGGATCTGCACGCGTGAAAAAATCCCACACCCTGGCGATCGATACCCCCGCGGCCGCCTGCATCTCGGCGGCGAGCGAGGGGGGGAAGCGAGAAGGAGGAGGCCTTCTCAGAACGCTCGGAAGTCCCCCAGCCTTCTGAGAAGCTCTCTGAGCCTTCCCCGAAGACACAGAACACTTCCCGGAGGGCGCGAGGGCTTCGCCCGCCGCCTCGTGAGAAGGCCTTCTCCTCCGTGTTTCCCCCCCTCGCTCGCCGCCGAGATACCCCCGCAGTCGCCTGCACACCTGACTCTTTGCTGCTGCGGTGCCAGCGGCCGCGCGGCGCGCTGGAGGCCCAAGCTGATTCGCCGCACGGCGAGCCACCACACAGAGCGAGGCGAGGCAAGGCGGAGGGCGGCCGCGAGAGGGAGAGAGGGCATCGGGCGGCGCGCTCGGACCGCGACGAGCGGGGAGGCGCAGTGGGACGGCCTCGGGCTCCTGGGTGGGACGTTGCTGCCTCTTGAGTGTACACTGGTCCTCCTCCTCCTCCTCCTCCTCCTCCTCCTCCTCCTCCTCCTCCTCCTCCTCCTCCCATTCCTCCTCCTCCTCCTCCTCCTCCTCCTCCTCCTCCTCCTCCTCCTCCTCCTCCTCCTGGGACGTCGTGCGGGGCCCCGGGCTTCTCTGCCAGGCCGACCTGGGAGAGCTGGAGAACAGCTCGGCGGCGAAAGCCCCGCCGCCTGGCCTGCCGCCGAACAGCCAGGGCGGGCGGGCAGTCGTCCGAGCGAGGCTCGAGAACCGGGGTGCTGGCGGAGTGGAACAAATACACTGCGATGAGGCGACTCGAAGGCCAACGGATTCGGGCCGGTCACGCTGGAGACGGCTGCCTGCCTGGAGGGGAACTTTGTCACCCCCGGGGTGTGCACAAAGTCGCTGGGAACTGCAACTGACGCGTCATGGACCGAGTCATACATCGAAACACCCGCACAGAACGCACGCGCCGAACGATGCTCGGTTACCTCTCCGGTGCACGCATGCATTTTGAAACATTACGTGTGAAGCATCCGCCGGCCACTCCGACACGCCCTGCTTTTCTGTCTAGGGCCACAAGCCCGACATCTAAAGGAGAATCATGGGCCCATGCCCTGACTGGGAAAGCTTCCCGAATCTCTATCCTCGAGCCTCAATCCTCGTACCGCTACGACGAAGACGGCGGCGACGGCGACGGCGATGGCGACGACAACGGAGACAGCGACGACTATGGCGACGGAGATGGCGGCGGCGGCGGCGGCGACGGCGACGACACCGGCGACGGCAGCAGCGTCGGCGACACTGACATCACCACGACAGCGGCGACACGGCGACGACGAAGACTGATACCGCGCCAAAAATCACAAGACGTGCCAGAAATGCCAAGGACGAGCACGTCGACCACGACCCCGGGAACTTTCTCCTGGGGTGCGCTCCAGCCAGAATCTGAAGTGGATCCACGAGGGCGCCCCCCGAGGCCCAAAAGGCCAGGGAGACCTCGGACCTCCCCAGCTCCCCAGCGTCATAACGTTTGCTGCACGTGGGCCCCCAGAGCTCTAGACCCATTGCCCAGGGCGGGCTTCTCGCCACGAGAACGTCGTTCTTTGACAGTCCTGGGCCCAGTGAGGGCGTCAGGAGGCCGAAAACAATCCGAAAACCTCCCGTCGTTGTGATTTTGTTCGATGTCTCAGCGGGGGGGGAGGGCAAAGATGCAGGGACACCTTTGCTTCCCAGACCTCTCTCCCAGGGTGCATCCTGGCCAGAACTTTGAGGAGAATCCAGCCGTGGCGATGAGGGCTCTCCAGTACGAGCAGCGGCATCATCGAGGCCAGGGACCAACATTTATCCTCGCGCCTCCATCTGCGAGCCTGCGCCAGCACCAACGGCGACAGCGACAACTGTGGCGACGAAGATGGCGGCGGCGATGGGGGCGGAGCCGACGGCGACGGTGACACTGACGACAACGGCGACGGCGGCGGCCACCACGACGACGGCGGCGACACGATGACGACGACGACGGCGGCGGCCACCACGACGACGGCGGCGACACGACGACGACGACGACGACGACGACGATGACGACGACTACGGCGACGGCGACGACGACGACGACGACGACGACGACGACGACGAAGACGCCGACGCTGACGGCGACAACGGCGACGGCGGCGGCGACGGCGGCGGCGACGGCGGCGACGGCGGCGGCGGCGGAGGGGCGGCGGAGGGGCGGGCACCATTGTCGCGGCAGGCCAGCGGGGACGCGGCCGAGGCCAGCCACGCGCGAGGGGCCCCTCTGGGGGCCGGCTGCGCGCAGCTGCGGCCCGCGGCGGCGCGGCGACCGCTCGAAAGATCGATCGATCGCGCGAGCGCCGCAGCCGACGGCGCCGACGCCGGCACCCGGGATCCCCTTGCGTCACGAAAAAAACATGACGAGACGCGTGTTTGTCCATCTTCGTCCCCTGGGGGGACTCGCCGGGCCCCGGGACCGTCAGCACAAGGCTCGCGACAGAAAAAACGGTCCGTTCGTGGCGTGCTGTCCGTCCCACCAGCCATCCAGGGCGTGAGTGGCACAGGGAGTGTCTCCTTCCAGCCCCCCTTCTTCCCCTGCGGGGAAGGGCTTATCCCGGCTCCCTGTGGGTAAACTCCTCCCCTGGGCGACCGGCAGCCAACCAAAACTAAGAAGGCCCCCCGCGACCATCCCCGTCAAAAGCACTGTACCCAGACATGCGACGTTCTGATTTGGTTCAGGTCGGCGCCCCTGGAAGTCCTGCCCCCTTCCCCGGGACCGGTTTTTCGTCCCGAGTCGTTTTTTGACAGCCCCGAAGCCCGGCGAGGGCCCACCGGGGGCCGAAAATAGCCAAAAACTGACCGTCCTGATTTTGTTTACGATGCGATCATGCCTGGGTAAAATCCGCCTTGGGGCCAACTCTCGGGTTATGATCGGGGGAGGGGGGGGGCGCGAGCACTCTGTTGAAGGGGCCATGGGACACCCAAATAGATACACGCAAACAACAATATCCCCCATATTTCCCCATACTCTCTGGGTTTTCGTCTTTCCCCCCACTTCCCACATTTCCCCATCTTTTCTGGGGAATCGACGATTCACTGTGTCTGTGTTTTTCTTTCCCCTCCTGATTTGCGTCGTGCTCTGGCCGGGGGGGCGGCAGGGGCGCCCGCACAGCGCCCGCCTGCGCGCAAGGCCAGCAAAAGTCCCCGCCGAGAAGCAGGGAACACTGCAGCGGGCGCTCCGAGGCCAACATCCGGATCACGTCTGGGCACCCCGCGGCAACTGCGCCATCGGCTCTTGGCTGGGACGGCGGGGGGGACGGCCGCGGCGGGGTGCCCGCACAACGCCCGCCTGCGCGCAGGGCCAGCACATCCCCGTCAAGAAACAGGAGCATTACAGCGGGCGCTCCGAGGCCAACATCCGGATCCTGTGCGGGCACCCCGCGGCAACTGTTTTTCCCAACCATCCTGTGGTGTTGGGTCCTCGTTCTGAAGAGACAGCGCCCCGCGTTCCTTCCTCCCGCTGCCCCCTCCCTCCTCCCTCCTCCCCCTCCTTGCCTCTGCTCTCGGCACACCTCTCACACGTTTCGTAGCCCCATACGGAGCTCCACCGAAGGCCTCAGTGGTTGCTCTCGCATGCGTTTCCCCCACCCTGGGCAGCGTTAGGGAGCTCCACCGAAGGCCCCAGTGGTTGCTCTCGCATGCGTTTCCCCCACACTGGGCAGCGTTTCGTGGCCCCATAGGGAACTCCACCGAAGGCGCCAGTGGTTGCTCTCGCATGCGTTTCCCCCACCCTGGGCAGCGCTTCGTAGCCCCGTAGGGAGCTCCACCGAGGGCCCCAGTGGTTGCTCTCGCATGCGTTTCCCCCACCCTGGGCGACGCTTCGTGGCCCCATAGGGAGCTCCACCGAAGGCCCCAGTGTTTGCTCTCGCATGCGTTTCCCCCCAACCTGGGCAGCGCTTCGTAGCCCCATAGGGAGCTCCACTCGAAGGCCCCAGTGGCTGCTCTCGCATACGTTTCCCCCCACCCTGGGCAGCGCTTCGTGGCCCCATAGGAGCTCCACCGAAGGCCCCAGTGGCTGCTCTCGCAGGGCAGCGCTTCGTGGCCCCATAGGGAGCTCCACCGAAGGCCCCAGTGGTTGCTCTCGCATGCGTTTCCCCCAACCTGGGCAGCGCTTCGTAGCCCCATAGGGAGCTCCACCGAAGGCCCCAGTGGTTGCTCTCGCATGCGTTTCCCCCACCCTGGGCAGCGCTTCGTGGCCCCATAGGGAGCTCCACCGAAGGCCCCAGTGGCTGCTCTCGCATGCGTTTCCCCCACCCTGGGCAGCGCTTCGTGGCCCCATAGGGAGCTCCACCGAAGGCCCCAGTGGTTGCTCTCGCATGCGTTTCCCCCACCCTGGGCAGCGTTTCGTGGCCCCATAGGGAGCTCCACCGAAGGCCCCAGTGGTGCTCTCGCTTTCCCCCACCCTGGGCAGCGTCGTGGCCCCATCTCCACCGAAGGCCCGTTTCCCCCCCCCTGGGCAGCGCTTCGTGGCCCCATACGGAGCTCCACCGAAGGCCCCAGTGGCTGCTCTCGCATGCGTTTCCCCCACCCTGGGCAGCGCTTCGTGGCCCCATAGGGAGCTCCACCGAAGGCCCCAGTGGTTGCTCTCGCATGCGTTTCCCCCACCCTGGGCAGCGTTTCGTGGCCCCATAGGGAGCTCCACCGAAGGCCCCAGTGGTTGCTCTCGCATGCGTTTCCCCCACCCTGGGCAGCGCTTCGTGGCCCCATAGGGAGCTCCACCGAAGGCCCCAGTGGTTGCTCTCGCATGCGTTTCCCCCACCCTGGGCAGCGCTTCGTGGCCCCATAGGGAGCTCCACCGAAGGCCCCAGTGGTGCTCTCGCATGCGTTTCCCCCACCCTGGGCAGCGTTTCGTGCCCCATAGGGAGCTCCACCGAAGGCCCCAGTGGTTGCTCTCGCATGCGTTTCCCCCACCCTGGGCAGCGTTTCGTGGCCCCATAGGGAGCTCCACCGAAGGCCCCAGTGGTTGCTCTCGCATGCGTTTCCCCCACCCTGGGCAGCGTTTCGTGGCCCCATGGGGAGCTCCACCGAAGGCCCCAGTGGTTGCTCTCGCATGCGTTTCCCCCACCCTGGGCAGCGCTTCGTGGCCCCATAGGGAGCTCCAACGAAGGCCCCAATGGCTGCTCTCGCATGCGGTTCCCCCACCCAGGGCAACGTTTCGTGGCCCCATAGGGAGCCCCACCGAAAGCGGTACCCACAACGCGTTACAAAAAAATGCCTATGGTTGGGTCCTTCGCCAAGGTAATTGTTTTTGCTGACAAATCCACCTCGCAAGAATCCGCTGCCCCTCGAGGAGGCTTTCCTGAACTCCGCTCACGAAGCGGAGTTCAGGAAAGCATCCTCGCGGAGGGGGGGGCACCCCGCGGCAACTGTGCACTAGCTGCTCTTGGTTGGGACGGCGGGGGGGCCAGCAGACTGCCCGCGATGTGCAGGCCCACCAGGACGCCGTGATGGCCAGCCACCCCGCCGAGGCTGCGCACTGCGAGTGGTCAACACAACAAAACACTACAATACAGGAGGCACCTCGCGGCTAGTTATCTGGATGATACGCGGCCACCCCGCGATCAGTGTCAAGTGGTTTTTGACGGGGACGGCGGAGGTGGTGGCGCATGGCCTGCTGTGTGCAGGCCCGCCAGACACCATGATGGGCACTGGTTTTCCACAAGGGTGGTGGGCGCCGACATGATTCCCGATGTTTACTACCACGTGCGCAGGCGCACCTGACACACACTCTGCACCTCGAACGTGGTGCACTTGGCGCAGCTGGAGTATGCGGCACACCTGGCGCACGTGGAGCACGTAGCGCATCTGGCGCACCAGGCGTGCCTGGCACGCTCGGGCCTCAGGGGTGCCTATCTAGGAGGGTGTTTTGGCCCCTTTCCCGACCCCCTCCCCCTGGACCTCTAGAGGGGTTGCGCGAGCTGTCAGAGCGTCCAAAACGGCCTCGGCGGGGAAACCCAAATCATTGATTCCACCAAGGTGTTGGCCACAAGCTTGCCTCCAGGAGGGAATACCAAATTTAAGAGCTCCCCTCCTTTCATCGATCTCCTCCTAGATGGCACAAAGATGGCCCCCGAGGTTCCCAAGGGCGCTCCAAGAGGGCTCCCACGAAGCTCCCAAGAGACCCCCAAGACGCCCCAAGAAGGCTTCCAGAGGCATCCACAACGCCCCAAGCGGCATCGGCGAGAATGCCAACAGTATCAATGTTACTAAGGTTTTGGCCGCATGTTGACTCCTTTGGTCGGTCTCTCCCAAGATTGCCCGAAAATGGCCCCCGAGGCTCCCGAAGGTGCCCCAAGACGGCCCCAAGAGGTGCCCAGGAGGCCCAGAAAGCCCCTACGAGGCCCCCAAGCTGTCCCCAAAAGGCCCCCAAGAGACCTCCAAGACGCTTTATCTGGCTCCCCCAGAGGCACCCAAGACGCCCCAAGAGGCCTCCATGACTGCAAAAAAAATCCAAGACGCCCCAAGAGGACTCCCGCCTCCACGCTCTGGCAGCTCACCTCCGGAGAGGTCGGGGACTCGTCGCCGCCGCCGCTGCCACTACATATCGAGGCTCGAGGATCGAAGGTCGCGGATCGAGGGCTCGAGGATCCAGGCCGCTGGCCCTGTTGTGGACCTCGACCTCCGTAGGGCTCTGCCAACCTCCAGGGACCTCTGGAAGACGTCGTCGGCCCTCGTCGTGATCGTCGTCATCTTCGTCGTCGCCCCCGTTGTCGCCAACGCTGCTCGCCGCCGCCGCCGTCCGCCACCGCCGCCATTCTCGTCGTCGTCATCCGCGAGGCTCGCTAATGTCGTCGCCGCAGCCTGCGACGGGGCGAGATTGAGGAGAGGATTCGAGGTCCGAGGTTCAGAATGTTTTGTTGGACAGTTTAAGCAATCTCTCTAACTACCATGTCCCCCGCAATTGTGGATCCGAGTGAGGTGGGACGGGGAAGGGCGTCGGCAGCCTGCGTGGCTCGAGGAAAACAGTGAAGGAGGTGCCGCAGGCGCCGACTCTTTCACCACACAACGACCCCGCCTCAGGCGCCGACTGTTTGCTTGTCATAGCAACGTGGGTTGGTCGCGGATGGGTCGCGGATAGGTCGCGGGTGGGTCGAGGATGGGTCGCGGGTGGGTCGCGGGAGGTTGCGGGCGGGTCGCGGGCGAAAACGACAAAAAATACTCACTGCGTGGAGCTCCCCATATGTGCATTTTTATATAAAAAAATGGAGAGAGAGAAAAAAATGTGATATTGCATCAGGCCATATGAGCCATATGTGCATCTCATAGTGTAGGTAGTGCTATGATGAAAATATGTCTACTATAGCTGTGCTAGAAAGGCGCGTCTACGTGAGCGACGAGCACACGTGCGCAGCTCGGCTGCACACCCAACGCATGTATATGTTTATCCGCAAGCAGCACCGCATCTCTTTTTGCCGAAGCAAAGAATTCATTGGCACTGCGTCGGAAGCACAGTGGCATAGGTCGTTCGCTTGCGCCGCCCACACCAAGATGGGGCTACCTCGTAGAAGAAGCCACTGGAGAATTTACGCGGAGTGCCGTCCGCACTTGGCATCGGGCGATGTTTGGGCGAGCACCTAAGAGAAACGTAGGATGATGGGGCAAAGTGAATACGTTCGCGCAGTGGCCGCCCGCGTTTGTAATCGGACCAGGTTTGGCTCAGCGCGAAGGCAGGGAAAAAGCCGAGCGCGGACACAAAAGAAAAACAAGCAAACAGCCGCCTGCGCTGGGCGTCGGGCTTTGCAGCGCCAGGCACGCGGCAGAGGGATCTGGGCAAGCTCCCTTTCCCGCGGCTGAAGGGTGAACCTCTCTCAAGTCCACCCTTCAGTCCGACCACAAGAGGGAGAGTGAACCTGTTCAAGTTCCCTCTCCCCCGCCTGGAGAGCGAACAATTGTTTTTTTCAACTTCCCTCTCCAGTTCGATCGCATGCGGGGAAGTGAACCTTTGCAAGTTCCCTGTCCTGCGACTGAAGGGTGAACCTCTGCAAGTTCCCCCTTTCAGTCCGACCACACGAGGGACAGTGAATCTTTTCAAGTTCCCTGTCCCTGCCTGGAGGGTGAACCTTTTTTCAAGTTCCCTCCCCCGTTCGACCACAAGCAGGAAAGTGAATTGTTTCAAGTTCCCTCTCCCGCAGCTAGAGAGTGAACCTTTTTCAAGTTCACTCCCCAGCCCAAAACACACGCGAGAGAATGGAACTTCTCAAGTTCCCTTTCCCGCTGACGACGACAAGATTGGAAAACACCACGGAGAGAGAAAGCAACACCCCACGGTGACACAAGCTCTGCACCAACAACACCTGGTCACCCCTCCTTGACCACCGTACGCAACGGGGAGAGCCACTCGGGACACAACGCAAAAGCAGAAAACAAGCACACCGCTAAAGACATCCCCACAGAACGGCGACGAACGGAGCCGTGAAAGCATCTTTGGCGGGTCCCCTCAAGCAGCTGAAACCAGCGCCCCGCGAAGGATGTTGAGACAACAAACAGGCAAACCGCTTCAGACATCACCACAAAACGGCCGCGAACGGGACCGTGTCATACCCCTCGGCGGCCCCCCTTAGGGGTGCTGAAACCAGCGCACCGCCTGAGACATCCTCACAATCTGCTCTCCGAACGAAGGATGTTGGGACAGAACACAGACAAACCGCTTGAGACATCCCCACAAGACGGCCGCGAACGGGACCGTGTTATACCCCTTGGCGGCTCCCCTTGGGGTGCTGAAACCAGCGCCCCGCCTGAGACATCCTCACAGTCTGCTGTGTGTTGAGTAAGTCAGACAATGAAAAGGTCTGAGTATGAGTACGTCTGGATATGAGTGAATCTCAGCATGAGTGAGTGTGCGTCTGAGTAGGTCTGAGTATGAGTAGGCCTGAGTATGAGTAAGTTGATCTGATAAGGTCTGAGCACGAGTAGATCTGTGTATGAGTAAATCAATATATGAGTACGTCTAGGCCTGAGGAGGAGGAGGAGAAGAGGAGAAGAGGACGGAGGAGTAGGAGGCGTCCAAGTAATAACAAGACCCCCATCTTTGGATATGGGGGAAACACAACAAAAACCATAACCAGAACGACAATTCAGACCGCGGAGCCCCACCACAGCCATGCACCCAGGGACCTTGTAGGACGTCTTGGCCCCCCCTCTGATTCTTCGGGCTTTGAAGCACTGGCGTGAGCCCGAATGCCACGAGTCCCGCCTGCAGGTGGCAATGCGCCCTGGATGTGCACGGCTCGCTCTGTCTCTCTCTCTCTCTCTCTCTCTCTCTCTCTCTCTTCTCTGGGGACCTCAAGGGACCTCCAGGGACCTCCAGGGGCCTCTTGACGGCGTCGGTCGTCGCGGTCGTCGTCCAAGCTGTCCTCACGATCTCACGATCGTCCGCGTCCTCGCCCTGAACCTTTAAGTGGCCTATCTCGTCCTTGTCCTCCGACTTCCCGTCCTCATCCTGTTCATGCTTCTCCTCCTGCTCCCTCACCTTCGTTACACGCATGTGCAGAATCAAATCGGGCAAAGTGCAAAGTGGAGTAATAAGTGGACACTTCAGCTTAATAGGGAGCAGGTAAGGGAAATTTCAATGTACTTGGAACTGGGCACTTCAGTGGACGCTTCAGTAAGGAATCGAGAACAGGTACGAGACAGCATGGGTGCAAAACACAATGGAGCGCAGCGTAGAACAGGGTGGCGACGGGAGCGGAGAGGGGAGAGTCGAGAGTAGATGCTGGAGAACAGGGTAAATTAGAGAGCTTAGCAGAGACCAGAGCACGCGGTTGGATCGAGAATGGGGTCAGGGAGAACGGTGGAGAACAAGAGCACAGGAGGGAGTAGGAAAGCTGATAGGGTAGAATAGCAGAGCAGATCTAATAGAACTGAGAAGAAATATTACAGCACAGAGCGGACCCAAGCGCAGCGAACAGAAACATAGAGCGGAGCGTAGAGAACATAGCGTAGAAGCGAAGCGTGACCAGACAGTGCAATATCGTCTCGACTCCACTCTCTACGCTCTGCTCTGCTCTGGTCTCCCTCTGCCTCTGTCTCTATCTTTGTCTCTCTTTCTCTCTTCATCTGTCTCTTGTATCTCTCTCTCTCTGCCTCTCTCTCTCCCTCTCTCCCGCTCTCTCACCTCCACTCTATACTCCCCACTCTTTCCCTACAAACCCACTATCTGAAGTATTCTGCATGACAAACTCTGGGAGATTCTCCACAGAAGTGTGTCCGCCAGCCCCCTTTGCGCGGCCACCAAGATGCGTGGCGGAGGTGTCCTGCTCCCTGCACCAATTCCACTTTCCAGTTTCCAATATTACAATACTGCCTCGTGTTTCCTACTGTAAATAGCTGCTTTCCGCGCGAGGGGGGAGCCGGAAACCACCCCGATTACTACGCCCGAGTCGTGTGTTTTGAATTTCTAGGGGGGCATGGTATACCTAAGAATACATCAGATTCGCGCCCCCGATGCAATAACCCCTCGCAGATTACACTTCATTCGCGCCCCCGAAGCCAAGATCCTCGCAAATCACCGTGTACTCGCATTCCCGAAGCCACGATCCGTCGTAAAATATGCCGTCCTCGCGCTCCTGAGGCGACGATCCCGCGTACATTAGACCACGTTTTCGCCCTGGGGCCACGATCCCTCGCAAATTACACCGCAGTCGCGCCCCCGAGGCTACGATCCCGTGCAAATTACGCCACAATCGTGCCCCCCGAAGCCTCGATCTCCCGTAGATTAGAGCACACTCGCGCTCCCGAAGCCACCATCCCGCGAAAATTTGCCACATTCGCGCCCCCGAAGCCACGATCCCTCGCAAAACGCTGTAAATTCGCGCCCCCGAGGCCACGATCTCCTACAAGAGGCCTCAGGAGGCACCCAAGATGCATCCAAGAAGCCCAAAACATACCCCACGAGGCCCCAAGAGGCCCCAAAGAGGTGCCAAAACCGCCTCCAAGAGGCCCCCGAGAGGCTCCCCACGACACCCAACACATATACAAGAGTCCTCATACCCACAACCCAGGCACGGTGGCGGGACGGGCTGAAGACCACTAGGATCCGCCGCCCCCTGTGGATTCATCACAGGGGTGCCTGGCGTGCTGAACCCTCTCGGTTTTGGTTTTGGTTCTTCCAGAAGGACTCCCCCTGGGCCTCTGGCGCGTTCCGCTGGCCCACCCAGAAAGATTTCCAAGGACCTCAATCCAGAAAAAGATCCTCCAAGATGGTCCAAGATGGCCTCCAAGATGGCCACGTTGGCCCAAGATGGCCGCCAAGATGGTCCAACATGGCCTCCAAGTCCGCCCAAGGTCCTTGACGGCCTCCAAGACGGCCCAAGAGAGTCCAAGATAATACCTCCAAGGTCGCCCGAGAAGCCTCCAAGACGGCCCAACACGACCCAGCCTCCAGGAGGCCCTCCAGAAGGGCCCGAAGAGGCCAAAATCTTTGATTTCCATACGTTTTTGAAGGATTTGGGCATTTGCTTCTTTTCGGCCTTCCGACTGCTCAAGACGGCCCACGAGGCCCCCAAGATCGCCCAAGAGGCCTCCAACAGGGCTCCATGACGGCCCAAGAGGCCTCCAAAACGACCCCAAGAGGGCCCCAAGACGGCCCAAGAGGGATCTAACATGCCCAAGATGGCCCCCGAAGCGCCCCAAGAGGGCCCCAAGTCGGTTCAGAGAGGCCCCCAAAACGGCCCCCGACGGCGTCAGCCGGGCCAGGAACGTCCTAAGACGGCCAAAGAGCCCCCCGAGAAGCCCCAAAAGAGCCCCAAGAGGCCCCCAAGAGGCCCCAAGAGAGCCCAAGATAGCCCCACCATGGCCTCCAAGACTGTCCCAAGATGGCCCAATCGATCCCAAGAGTGCCTCAAGGGACCCCGAAGAGGCATCCTCCCCCTTATCCTTTTTCCTCCTTCCTCCTCTTCCTCTTCCTCCCCCACGTGTTCCCCGAAGGGTTTCCAAATCGGCTCGGGGAACACATGGTCCGATAGCTTCGCCCCCCAAGATGCCTCCAAGACGGCCCAAGATGGCCTCTAAGACGGCCTAACATGGCGTCAATATTGCCCGAGACGGCCCAAGAGGCCCCCAAGAGGCCTCCAAGACGGCCAAAGAGGCCTCCAAGAGGTCCTCCAGCTGGGTCCGAAGAGACCAAAACCATTCATTACCCCTAATTGTTTCAAAGATGTTGGCATGTGTTTCTTCTCGTCATTGCGACGGCTCAAGGCGGCCCAAGAGGCCTGTTCCTCTTCCTCTTCATGTTCATTATCCCCTACGTGTTCCCCGAAAGCTTTCCAAACCGATTCGTGGAACACATGGTCCGATAGCGTGGCAGGCCTCTGGCCACAACGTTCATAGGCGCTTCCGAAAGGGCAGGGGCGGCGGTGGTTCGCCGTAGGCGTCTTCGATCCGCCGCCCCCTGTCGATTCATCGCAGGGGTGCCTGGCGTGCTAAACCCTCTCGGTTTTGGATTTGGTTCTTTTTCCAAAAGAACCCCCCCTGGGGCTTCGGCCCGTCCCGCCGGCCACCCGGAAAGGAGCTCAATTGCGGACAAATCTTCCAAGACGGCTCAAGATGGCCTCCATGATGGCAACGTTGGCCCAAGATGGCCTCCAAGATGGTCCAAGATGGGCTCCAAGACGGCCCGGGAGAGGAGGAGATGCCTCCAAGTCCGCCCAAGAAGCCTCCAAGACGGCCCAAGACGGCCCAAGAGGTGCCCAAGAGGCCTACAAGACGGCCCAAGAGGCCTCCGAGAGGTCCTCCAGGAGGGCCCGAAGAGGCTAAACTCATTGATGTTCCTTAGGTTCTTCAAATTGTTTCGTATGTGCTCCTTTTCGGCTTTCTGACGACCCAAGACGGCCCAAGAGGCCCCCAAGATCGCCCCCAGAGCGCCCAAGAGGCCTCCAAGATGGCCTCAGGACTGCCCAAGAGGCCCCCAAGACGGCCCCAAGAGGGCACAAAGAAGCCTCCAAGACGCCCAAGATGGCCTCTAAGACGGCCCTGGAGCACCCCAAGAGAGCCCCAAGTCGGCCCAAAGAGGCCCCCCAAACGGCTTCCGACGGCGTCAGACGGGCCAGGAGCCCACCAAGATGGCCGAAGTTGGCTCGAAGCTGGCCCAAGACGGCCCAAGAGGCCTCCAAGAGGGCCTCCAGGAAGGCCAGAAAAGGCTCAAAACACGTGTGCTCCCTATGTGTTTGAAGGATTTTGACATTTGCTTCTTTTCGGCCTTCCGACCACCCGAGACGGCCCAAGAGCCAACAAAGATCACCCAAAGATCGCCCAAGAGGCCTCCAAGATGGCCCCAGAACAGCCCAAGAGACCCCCAAGACGGCCCCAAGAGGCCCCCAAGACGGCCCAGGAGGCCTCCAAAACGACCCCAAGAGGGCCTCCAAGACGGCCCGGGAGCACCCCAAGAGGGCCCCAAGTCGGCCCAGAGAGGCCCCCCAAACAGCTTCCGACGGCGTCAGACGGGCCAGGAGCCCACCAAAACGGCCGAAGATGGCCCTTAGATGGCCCAAGGCCTCCAAGAGGGCCTCCAGGAAGGCCCGAAAAGGCCAAAATCATTATTTCCCACGAGTGTTTGAAGGATTGTGGCTGTTGTTTTTTGTTCTGCCTTCCGACTGCCCGAGACGGCCCAAGTGCCTCCAAATATCGCCCAAGAGGCCCAAGACGGCCCCAAAAGGCCCCCAAGACGGCCCAAGAGGCCTCCAAGACGCTCAAGATGGCCTCCAAGACGGCCCACGAGCCCTCCAAGACGTCCTCCAAGAAGGCCCGAAAGGGTCAAAATGGCCTCCAGACGGCCAAGATGACCCTCAAGATGCCCACGTGTTCCCCGAAAGCTTTCCAAACCGATTCGGGGAACACATGGTCCGACAGCTTGGCAGGTTTGGCCTCAACGTTCGGCCACATAGGCGCTTCCAAAAAGGCATTGGGGCGGCGGTGATTCGCCGCGGGCGTCTTCGATCACATCAACTTTCAAGATGCGCTGATGACTCCCGTCCGCCCCCGCATGCTGTTCCCAGATGCGCCCAGGCAGCGCCGAGACTTACCGACGCAACTCTGTTGTATCCCGGTAGAGAGGGGGCCGGCGGTAGGGGGCGAAGCCCTTACGGAGAAAACAACGTCGTCTGATTATTCATAGTAATCAAACAACAGCAGCAGATAGCATTAAATCACAATCGCTCACCATTTACACCCGCACTATGGTACTGCGCGTCGCAACTTAGCCCGATACACAAAACAATACACGCACCGAGAAACACTCAAAGGCACTAGAAACAAGAAGAACTGTGCGGGCCCCCAAGCACTAGGCGCCGTAGGTGCATGACGGCTTGAGGCCTGCCCAACACCGAATCCACTCCCTTGGCAATGCTCTTGCCCTGACGTCGGAGTCCCGCCGAGCGCTCGGTCTGGTCGCGCAGCGCCTCCGCCCGCTGCTGCCGCCTGCGCTGGGCCGCCTGCCTCGACGTGGGCACGTTGACCCCAAGGTGCACGCCCGTCGCCTGCACTCTGGCGCCATTGCGTTTCCCGGCAAGCTCGAGCGCTTTCCACAGCCAAGGCACGCTGGCCAGCTGGTAGCACTTGCCTCCGGCGCCGAGCTAGAAGGACCGGTCCACGGTCTCGAACTCCGCGATCGCCGCGCCAACCACCTCGGGCGCCTCGTGACCAGGGCCCGCCGTCGACCCCGCCACCGCGCAAATGTCGCCCACGCGCAGCTTCCATTCGACGCGCGGCGGGGCGCCAGTTGGTCAATGCCCTTCACCATCAGCATGCTCAGCAAGGCCGCCGAGCACTTGCTGCCCGCCACGATGGCCGCCTGGGTCGCGGCTTCTGCCGCGTAGCAACCGTCGATCACCACGGACATCACCACCACCTGGATGGAGGGCGGGAGGCCCCAACGCAGACCAGCTTGCCACAGCTTTACCAAGAGGACCCGCTCGAAGACCTTGACCAAAACCCATGAGCGCAATGGCTGCGGCCTCGACATCTGGGCCATCCGTTCCAGGGTCGACGGCCTCGCGCGCCGCCGGCACTTCCCGGGCCGCCGACTCGGCCCCGCGGCTGCGCGAGGTGCGATCCTAATCGCAGGGGTGCCCACGGCGCCGCTGCAGGTAGGGGGCGTTCAGCAACCTCCAGGTGCGCACCAGTGCGGGCGGCGAGCCGATCGCCCTGTCCTTGGCGGCCGCCTCCGGGATGAGCAGCGCCACGACGCGGCCCGCCTGCGATGCCTAGACCAACGCTCGCTCGATCTCTTCTAAGACCCCCAGCACTGCAGAAGCCCCCTCGTCGAAGATGCCGTCGAGGACGGGGAGGGCGATCCACTTCGATGCCCGCGCGCTTCTCGGAGCGCTTGGCCATGACGCGAAGCGCCGGCGTTTCGCGAGGTGGGAGGGGCTCGCGCTCGGCCGTGAATCGCGGCCGCTTGCCTTCCTGCACTGGCCGGGACCCGCCAGACCCCCGCCCTGCGCCTGGGCCGCCGCCCTCTCCGAGGCCGTCGACACCTCTGGCAACTCGGCCCGCCGAGGCTGCCGCGGCGGCGCGGGCTTGCTGGGGCGGTCTAGTTGGCCCTCCGCGCGATCGGCCGCCTGGGCTGGCTCGTCCTTCCAGGAAGCGGCGCGCTTTGCCCGCGTCGCCATCTCGGCGCCGTCCGCCTGCTGTCGGGCCTCCGCAGCCCAGGCCCGCAGAAGGTCCGCGGCCGCCAGCGATTCCTCCGCGGGCGCCATCTGGCCACAGGGCGCCGGGGCTGAGCGGCCCGCGGTGGCCGCCGTCGAGCGCCCCTGCCGGCGGTGCCAGCCAGTGCCCAGCAGGCCGCCCGCGGCTTGGCGCCCCAGGAGACGCTCCAGCTCCCAGCGCTACTCCCGCTGGGCGCCCCGCGCGGAGCGAGCCTGCGGCTGGCCGAGCGCCCGTTTCAGCCAGCGGCAGTCTGCCTGCGGCCTGCGCCGCCGCGCCGTTGGCCCTCGGCGGCTCCGCCACGAGCTGGCGCCGGAACGCGGGGGAGCTCTGCCGCCCCGCCTCGGGCGCGTGGGGGGGGCCCGCTCCAGCCCTCGGGGGCCGCGAGTCTCACGCGCCGCGCGGCCGACGGCATCTGCCCACGCCCGGGCGGCCGTCTGCCGGCGGGTGACACGGGGGCACGGCGGATGGCTCGGCGGCTCAGTCCGACGGCCAGCGGGCAGCGGCTTCGGGCGCATCTGCGCCCGCCCCCGCGCCCGGGCGGGCCGCACGACCCGCGGGCCCGCGGGCTTGCGAGGCGCCGCGGGGCAGGCCCGGTCGACCCGCGCGCTGGCCGGCCGCTTCTCCAGCGACGCGTCGACCACGAAGCACATCGACGGCGCGGCCGCTCGCCCCGCTCCCTCCGACGTCGGGCCGCCGCCAGGGGCGCCCGAGGCCCGGGCGCCAGGGCAACGCTGGATCTCTGCGGGCGCCCCCCCGCGCGCGCTGCAGCCCCGCCTCGCGCCGACGGCCCAGCGCGCGGCGCGGGGGTGCTCGCTGCACCCGCCGAGGACTTCATCCGCCCACGGGCGCGCGTTGGCGACGACGAGCCAAAGGCAGAGAGCTGCCCGAGCCACGGCCGCGCGGCCGCGGCTCTCGGACGGGGCGTGTCCCAGGAGGCGGTGCCCGCCACGCGCGCCAAGCCGACGTGCCCGGGCGCTGCGATGGCGACGCCCGCCGAGGCGCCGACCTCCTGGAAGTCGTCCGCGGTGGCCACCGCCGCCACTGGGGCCAGCCGCCAGCGCTCGTTCGACAGCGACTTCCCACGTGGCCTCGTCTCTCACAGGGAGGCGTCGCGACCGAAACTGCGCCCGAATCTCTGATCGGGCGCGACCAGAACTCGCGCCCGAAAGTTTCCGACCGCGCCGAGGCGTGACGGACATGTTTGGTCCGAAGTCAAGACGATCGTCAAATTCTGTTATTCTCGATCGCGCGACGCTTTCGGCCACAACTTCGGGCACGTTTTTGGTACGTAACCGTCTATTCATGTCACCTACCTTTTTGGCTGATAGGGGCGGGGCGCCATGGGACTTCTGGGCCGTCGCGATGGCGTCGCCTCGTAGCCCAGTCTTCTTTGTTTCACGGCAGACGAAGCCATAGGCACTGATAGCAGAGCACCAAAGCAAGTTCCACACAAACGGAACCAACACAGAATAAAGCGGACCGCAAACAAGTGCAGAGAGAGGGGAGGAGGGAAGAGGACGAAAAAGAGAGAACAGAGCGGAAGGATAAAACCACGACGCTGGGAGCAACGCACTGGCCAACCTGTAATAGGCGAGCGCGCATCCGAGGTCATGGGCACCTGGCGGAAGCGCCGATTTACATATCACAGCCTCGTAGCCCAGTCTCCTGCTGGGCGTAGCAGCGCCGCCGCGCCGAAGCGCCCTCCAGCAGGCGCGCGCGATAGGTCCCCGAGCCTGAGCCGTTGAAGATCCAGATCTCGAGGTCGCCACTCTTTGCCTCTCCGCACTGCCCTCGAGGCCAGAGCATGCGCCTCCCACTGCGGCCCTGCAGCACCGCCGTAAGGCCGGTCCAGTCGCGCCCTGGCCGCATGGCGCCCAGGGCGGGGCTGGATCGGCTCCCAGGGCACGCCGCCGTGGCCGCCGGGCACGGACCTGGCCTGGAGCCAGGCTGCGCGCCAGGCCCGCGATTTGCGCCGATGCCAATCCCAGCGCGACTTCAACCGAGCCCCCCTCCAGCTGAGCATTTTATGAGGGTGGAGGGCTCAGGGTGAAACAATCCGTTCTGTTGCCCGCTTTTTGCAGATTCAAGCCTCGAAAACCCATCGAGACGGTATTTCAGATTTCACCCTTTGCCCCCCACCTAAAGAAACTGCTCAGTCCAGGGCCGCCTGGAGCGCCCCCGTGGGGGGCCAGGCGCCCCGCCGGGGCCGCCAAGCGCGCCGCATGGCGAGGCCGCCAGCGGCGCCGCTGGGCTGCGAGCCCGGATGCCGCGGCGCCCTCCACCGCTGCGCCGCGGCCGCCACACCGCCGCCGGCCGGCGCCAGGCCCTGGCAGGGCGCCTGGGCTCCCTGCCAGCGGTCCTCCTGCAGCTGCGGGAGCGGGGAGGAGGAGGAGAAGGAGGGAGGAGGGAGAAGGGAGAAGGGAGAGGGAGGAGGATAAGGAGGAGGAGGAGGAGGAGGAGGAGAAGGAGGAGGAGGAGGAGGAAGAGGAGGAGGAGGAGGAGAAGGGAGAACCACCTCCTCCCACGCCGCCCGCGTGGCCGCCGGCCCCAGGGCGGTCTGCTGCCGCCGTCCGCCAGACGGCGGGCCATCCGTGTCCTCCCCTGCGGCCGCGGGGGAGGGGGGTCGGGCCAGGCCCCGGGCGCCCTCGGGGGCGCCCTCCTCCTCGGTCTCGACGCCCGCCGCTTCGACCGGCGGGGCCGCCACGGCCACGCAGAGGACGGGCAGGAGGACGGGCACCCAGCAGCCCCACATGGCCGCCCCGCAGCAGGCGCACCGCGTGCCGCCGTCGGGCAGCACCTCCTTCTCCATGGGCGGCTTCACGCTGCCATCACTGGATGCACGCTTGGCTCGCAGGCACGAGCGCCATTTCGAAGCACGTGCCTGCAAGCCTCTCGAGTGCGAAATGGCTTGCGCCAACATGGCTACAGAGTTAAGAGATGGAGGGGGAATGGGGAGGGGGGAATATGAGGGGGGTGCGAGGGGGGGGCGAGGGAGGGAGAAGGAAGGGAGGACGGAAAACGAAGACGATGAGGGGGGGAGGCGACAGGATGCCCAAAAGGGAAAAGAAGGAGGCGGCGAAGGCAGAGGAGGAATGGCAAGGCGGGGGGCCCTCAAAGGGAAGGATGGGGCGAGGAACTCCCAAACATCTCGATCCCGACCACCCTCCTCCCCTTTCTCCCTCCGCGGCGGCCCGCCCCGACATCCGCCGACGCATGCTCCTCCATCCGCGGCCCCAGAAGATCCCCACCGCTCCCCCGGGGGCACGCGGGCAGCGCCGCCCCTCCCAAGCAGTGCCCGCGGGCCCCGGCGAGAGAGCCCCCGTCGGGCGTTGCTAGAGGTGCCCCTGGCCCCAGGTGCCCCCAGCTTTTCCCTCCATCTTGGGGGCCCTGGGGCCCTCGGGGCCTCGCGAGAGGGTGCTCCGGGGGCCGCCTGGGCCACCCCGAGACTCCTGGGGGCACCCTGGACCAGGGGCACTCCTCGCAACACCCGGCCCCGAGGGCCGACACCCAGGAGAAGTGCCGCGACGGAACAGCCCACCTCTCGGGAGACCTGGGGTTGAGTCGGGCGTGTCCCCCTACAGGGGGTTTTCGACGAGAAACGAAAAATACTCAAAAAATATTCCAAAATGGCATTTTAAAAAATAGTCCCCAGACTATTTTTGCATATTCCCCCTGTAGAGGGACAGGCCCGACTTAAGCCTTGCCCTCCGCGGCGGCCCGCCTCGGCGCCGGGCGGCGCGCCGCTCTTGCTCGGCGCTGGGGCGCGGCACGCGGCGACCGCGGCGTGGGCCCAACGGTCCCCAGCCGCGCGCGCGGTCAGAACGCCAACGGCCCCCCCCCTGCTGGGGGCAGGCTTAAGTCGGGCATGTCCCCCTACATGGGGATTTTCGACGAAAAATGAAAAATACCCCAAAAATGCCCTCAAATGGCCAAAAGATATTCGAAAAATAGTCCCCAGACTATGCTTTGACTACTTTTGAATATTCCCCCTGTAGAGGGACAGGCCCGACTTAACGCCAACGGGCCCCCCCCCTACCGGGGGGAAGGCGTCGCGGGGCCGAGAAGGGGCGCAGCGGGGCCTATCGCCCCTCCTTCTCGCTCGCCCCCTCCCGGGCAGGCCCCTCCCCGCGCGGCCGGCGCGGAGGCCTGCAGGGCCGCCGGCACTGGCCGGGTGGGAAAGCAAAGACAAAAACTAACACGCACGCAAGCTGGGTGCGGGACTCGGGCGTGCACGCTGGCAGTCATCGTCATGATCACGCACCACCACCAGCATGACCGCCATCACCGTGATCCGAACCACCACCACCACCACCACCACCGTGATCATGATCCTGATCATGATGATCATGATGGTCATCATCATCATCATCATCATCATCATCATCATCATCATCATCATCATCATCATCATCATCATCATCATCATCATCATCATCATCATCAGCATCAGCATCAGCATCAGCATCAGCATAAGCATCATCATCATGGTCAGAATCATTACCTCAATGCTCATCATCGCCATCACCATCACCATCACCATCACCATCACTATCATAATCACCATCATCATCACCATCTCCATCATCATCATCATCATCATCATCATCATCATCATCACCATCTCCATCATCATCATCATCATCATCATCATCATCATCATCATCATCATCATCATCATCATCTCCATCATCACCATCATCATCATCATCATCATCATCATCATCATCATCAGCATCATATCCTTCATCACCATCTCCTTCACCATCGTCTTCACCACCATCATCACTTGCATCATCACGATCAGCATCACGATCATCATCGCCATCACAATCATCAGAACTATTTACATCATCCTTGTCAGCATCATAACCATCATGCTCGTCATCACTACAATCATAATCACCAGCATACAGCAGCATCATCATCTCTATCAGCATCATCGCCACCACTATCCTCATAAGCATCACTATCATGACCATGATCGCCATGATCAGCCTTAGCACCACCATGATAATCATATGCATCATCATGTACATCATCCTGATCGGCATCATCATCACTACGCTCATCAGCATGCAGATCCGAATTCCCATCATCATCTCCATCATCATAATCACGGCCACCTTAATAATCATCAGCATCATCATGATCATGATAGTTATCATCACCGCCATCATATACTTCATCAAGGTCAGCATGGTCACCAACATGCTCATCATCATCACCATCATAATCACCAGGATCATCATCATCTGCATCATCATCAGCATCCCCACCAGCATCACCATCGTCAGCATTATCATCAGGATCGTGATCATCATCACCACCATAAGAAAGGTATAGATCATCATGGTCAGCCGCATCACCACCATCCTCATCATCACCAACACCATTAAAATCACCATCTTCATCAGAATCACCATCAGCATCATCCCAATCATCAGCATTCTCAACATTGACCATGATCGTCAATGGTCATATGCATCATCACGGTCAGCATCATCACCACCATGCTCATCGCCATCAACGGCATAATCACCATCGTCAGAATCACCATCAGCATCATTTCCATCATCATCAGCATCATCATCACCATCACCATCACCATCATCATCGTAAATACCACCACCATCATCGTCAACATCATGATGATGATCATGATGATGATGATCATGATCGTCATCGTCACCATCGCCACCCTCGCCATGATAAGCATACACTGCATCCTCACCATGCTTGTCATTATCATCACCATCATCATCGCCATCATCGTAAACATGTCCATCATCACCATCATCATCGACACAACCACCATCATCCTCAGCATTATCAGCATGTTCGTGGTCACCAGCATCATCGCACTAATCGTATACATGATCATGGTCAGCATCAACACCAGCATGCGCATAATCACGATCACCAACACAACGAGTAGCATCAGCATCTCGATCATCATCATCACAACGACCACCAGCATCATCAGCACCACCATGAGCATAATCATAATCATCATCATAACCCCCTACATCATCATGGTAAGCAGCATCACCAACATGCTCATCATCACCATCAACACCAGAAGCACACTCAACATCATCAGCAGCATCAGCATCGTCTCCATCAGCATCATCCCCGCCACCATCATCATCAGCATCAGCATGATCAGGATCACCATCGCAATCATCATAATGATCATCTACGTCGTCATGAACAGCATCATCACCACCATGATCAGCTGTATCATCACGATCACGATCAAAATCACCATCAGCATCATTTCCATGTTCATCACCACCACCATCACAGCCATCAGCATCTGCATCATAATCAGCATGATCATCATCAACATCACCATGGCCATCGCCATGACACTCAACATCAGCGTGGTCATCATTCTGATCTTCACCACTATGCTCGTCACCATCATCGTCATCGTAAGCATATGCATCATTGCCAACAGCATCGCCACCATGCTCATCGTCACCACAATCAGAATCACCAGCATCATCATAACCATCAGAGTCACCATGATCATCATCATCATCTCCATCATCTTCACCATCACCACCACAGCCAATATCCTCGGCATCATTGCGATCATCACCATCAGCATCAGCATCACCATCACCATTAGCATCAGCATTATCAGCATCATCGTCGTGATCATACAGATCACCATGGTCAACATCATTACCACCATGCACATCCTACACTCCGCTCGTTAAAGATAGAATCGGTGAAACTAGGTCTCGGCTGAACTAGATCGTAAGTTTCGGTCCCCGACTTCTGCAATTCCGACAACTAGATCGGCCCGCTTGCATTTTCATTCCCCATACATTAGCATACTCTCCGCTCTCCTTTCCATTCGGGCGCTCCCACATACACGTGCACCTCGCAATGTGGCGGTCGGCTCGGCTGCGCTGAATTCGATCCGACCAGGCTCCATATACACGCGGTCATTCAAGGGTCGGTCTGCACGGTCAATCCTGGAGGGCACTCCGGGCTCCAGGACTATCCACGGTAAGTCTGGACTGACCCATGCTGGCCCCAGACTGACCCCAAACAGACCCCGGATAGACCCCAGGCAGACCCCGGATCCGACCCCGGACCGACCCCGGACTGACCCCGGACTGACCCGGGCTCATGGACTGACCCCAGCCCGGACGGACCCCGCAGAGAGCCCAGACTGACCCCGGACTGACCCCCGACAGACCCCGGACTGTCCCTGGACTGATGCCAGACTGACCCCGGACTGACCCCGGACTGACCCCGGACTGACCCTGACCCCAGACTGACCCCCCAGGACTGATCCAAGACTGACCCCCGACTGACCCCGGACTGACCCCGGACTGACCCCGGGCTGACCCCGGGCTGACCCCGGACTGACCCTGGACTGACCCCGGACTGACCCCGGACCGACCAGACCCTCCCCGGACCCTCCCCGGACCGACCCCGGACTGACCCCGGACCGACCCAGAGCCGTTTAAGCGTCATTATTCTGACGCGTGCGTCATATTCATCGCGCACGCATCATCATTCATTCCGCGCGCGTGGTTTCTCATAACGCACGCATCATTTCAAGGGCGCACGCGTCATAATGCAATTGGGGCGGAAGGGTTTTATTTAAAATGGCGCCTTTGGGCGTCATTTTTGTTAGGGCGCTATTTTTCGGGCCACCCCGTCTTGCATGTTAGATGTGTGCAAGGCTTGTTCCCCACATCCAAAGTTCTTGTTTTCTCTGGACACCCCGCGCAGGAGAGAACACACCCACCCACGCCCGCGCGCTCACTCACTCACTCACTCACTCAT